ACACAACAAACTTTTCAAACTATTCTAAGATATCTGAGTCATTGAAAGAAGGAAACTTAAAACTGACGATAAACCCAATGACAGATGAGTTTCTGTTTCAAGACAGTAAGAACCATACTGTTTGTATAAATCCAACAAAAAGAACTTTAAACGAGAAACCTATAGATGAACTTCTTTTGAAGGCAGATATTGACAACAAAGCTGACAAAGAGTATGTAGACGATGAGTTAGCATATTTGGCTAGTGGGTTAGTGAAGAAGGCAGATAAGGAATATGTGGATGAAAAAGACAATGAAATTATAAAAAGGGTTGAATGGTACCATGAACGGACATCGAAGATTTTAGAAGGTAAAGCCAATACAGGGTGGGTTTCAGGATGTTTAGACCTTAAAGCTGACAAGAACCATACACATACCATTGCAAATATTACAAACTTACAAGAAACCTTAAACAGGAAAAGTGACGTTGGACATACACATACCATTGCAAATATTACAAACTTACAAGAAACCTTAAACAGTAAAAGTGACGTTGGACATACACATAACTTCTTCTCAACTGTTGGTATAGAAAGTATTTTAGGAACGATTGAAAAAACTGGTGGGGGTGGATTATATTTTAAACCTCCTAACTTTCCAGAAGGTTTAACATCGGATAAAGACATTAAATGTAGAAATGTCTATGTCATGGAGGATGAAAAAAAAGTTAAATTCACTGCTCAAGATTTATATGATAAAAAAGCTGACAAAACAGAGCTTCAAACGTTAAAGACAGAAATACTTCAAACAGTATATCCTATAGGTTCTATTTACACGTCAATGAACTCTACCAAACCAGAAGTAGTACTTGGTTTTGGAACTTGGACTCAAATAGTCGACAGGTTTTTGTATTGTGCAAACTCTTCAAAGGAAACAGGTGGAAGTAAAACGATTTCAGGTGCAAATTTACCTGCGCACAGTCACTACGTAAGTTTAACTACATCTGAAGCAGGTTTGCATAGTCATAGATTTTGGGATTGGTCAGGAATGACAAAAGGTAAAGGATATGATGTTAAAGAGGACGTTAAGTTTGCTATAAATTGTTACTGGAGTAACACTGAGGTAGGAGGAAGCCATACACATCGCGTTTCAGGCTATACGCAAACAACGGGACAGAGTAAAGACTACATGCCACCTTACATGACAGTTTACGCATGGTATAGAAATGCTTAGTCGTCATTTTCAACTTCTTTAGCATATTCGTCAGGAGTTGTCTTATATTTGTTAGGAACTGTCTTTGAAAGTATACCACCTTGAACCTTAACAAGTTTGAAACGAGGTCTGACAATAGTAGTTTTATCTTCTGCTTGCAGTCTGTACATTTTGCATGTTTGCCTAAAACTTCATAATATTCTCTGTATACTTTCTTCTATTTTTACGAACACGAATGCGAGTACCTTCGAGTTCCCATTGTTGTCATAGTCAATAGTATTTTCATATGGGTCGCGTTTAGGTATTTCTATTTTTACTTTGTCACCTTTCTGAAGTTTGAAGCCTGGCATTCTTCTTGTTTGTCTTCTTTTGACTAAACTATTAAATATATAGTCTTTCTCTAAGTCAGGGTTGTTTTTCATTTCTTCAGGGGAGTGGTTTCCCCAAACCTTTTTGTTTACGGCTATTGTAAATATTTAAAACTTGTCTCATCTTTGCCATGGAGAAATGTCTATACTTGTCGTCATATGACATTTCATCTACCTCGCCGCCTTGTGGTTGGTTTAAGTCTCTTAAGATTTTTATACAATGTCAATGACACCAAGAGCAGAATGGTTTTGGTCGACAATGAAATATTGGTTTACATTTTTTGAACGCAGATAGTTTTTAATATCGTCTGATTTGAAAGAACTTTCACAGTCAGATGTCAGTTTTTGTTGGATGGTATTTGTCAACGAATATTGTCAAAGCAGTTTTCACATCTAAATATTTTTGGACCATAATGGTAATGGCTTCACAGTATCTTGTGTTTTGACCAAAAATATTAGCCAGTATGGTGGTCCATCTTCTCTATACCTCGGAATGTTTTCCAAGATATCCATAAACCAAGCATTTGGTGTTGAACTAAAGATTTTTACCATGAGTGCTTTCTTTGTCGCTTTAGAAACATACGGGTCCTTGTTTGAATTCGTCATTTTTAACCCATAAAGAAATGGGTTTATTTGGCGCATTAGCAGGAGTCGCATCTAGATTTTTACCCGCAGTGGGAACAATAGCCAGAGGTGTATTTGGAGTTGGAAGGAAGATTTTGAGTACGTTAGGTATACTTAAAGAGAAAGCACAACCTATTATACAAACTGTACAGAAAGGTTGGGATGTAGCACGAGATGCAGCAAATCTTATTCCAAATCCTGAAACAAGAGGAAAAGTTCAAGGATGGATGGACAATGTAGGAAGACAAGCAGGAAACTACTAAACAAAGCAAATGACTACTATAACCAAGCAGGACACTATATGGACCAAGGTGAAAGATTCTTTAACAGAGGATATAACCATGCACAACAGTGGGTAAACAACAACCAACCTCAACCGCCTCAAACGTGGGGAATGTAAAGTTTTTTACTGAGATGAAATGAACAATACAGCTTTGAGACAAATGGGTTCAAGATGGATTTGTCGACTTCCAGCAGTTACACACGTGTTTGTCAAGTTCTTCCTATACCTCAGGAAGTTTTAGACCGACTTAAAAAACAACAACAACCAGTTGAAAACAAACCAAACTAAAATTTTTTTTACTGAGATGAAATGACCGAAGAAGTTGAAACGGTAGATTTGACACCACAAACAAAAAGTTCAGAACCATTGTCAAAACCTGTCAAAAACTTACAGATGAAGAGAAAAATTCAATAATAGAAAGTGCCAGGTCTGGAAATACAAACCCTAACTATAAGTCACTTTTCATAGAAATGGAACGGCTAGTATCTCAAAAAAGAAACAGACTCTCACAAAAAATATTGAAGTCTGAAGGAGCTTTCGAGACAACAGATGGAAAAGTTTACTTCACTGACCAACAGTTCATTATAGAACATCTCATTGACTTAGAGTCGAAATATTCTAAACTTTACAACAAACACAAAAAGTTGAAAGGAAAACAAAAACAAATGGCATATGATATTTATGAAGATGTTGACAACACAACTGTTCCTGCAGGTGAGGTAAAGTCAGAGGAACCAAAAGTGACGAAAAACCGATAGAAGAAGAAACCAAAAACTGAAGATAAACCAAAACCAAAGTTTAGTTTGGAAACTAAACCAAGTCAACCTTCATTAGCTGGTATGGGTTGGCGTCAAAGACTTATGGCAGCAGGTGGTTATGTTAAGTAAAGAAAAAAACATTTTTTTATTTTATTCGAAATGTACGCTGAGTTTGTTGGAGAAGACCGTTGGGAAACTTGTTTGTTAGATGAGAAATATGAAATGGCATACCATTTTAAAACAATATATTTTTACATATATTAAATGCTTCAGGTTGAAAAACAAAGAACAAAAGTAGCAGATACAAAACCGTTAGACTATATCTTTACAAATGCTGGTAGGACAATATCAGATGAAGAAATTTCATCCCGAACATACAGGTTTGACTATCCAATTCGTTGGCTTCAAAGTCCTTCAGATGCAAAGGCAATAGGATTTAGAAGAGTTTTGTTTTCAAATAGAACTAACGCGTTTATGTTCGCAGTATATTTTCATGGGCAGTATAAAGGTTCTGATGGTCTAATAGACAAATTTGACGAAATGAAAATCTTTACAATTCGTTCAGACGAAAGTCTTGAGAAAACTCTAAATGACTTTCAAACTCAAATGAACAAATATTATTGGGAATTTCAAGAAAAATACGACTCTTTACTAAATGGAACATACTATCTGAAACTAGAATATGACAAGATGAACTCCACCGTTTCATTTCAAAAGATTGAAATTAACCCTCCAAGAGATACAGAGTTTTTATTTTGGGGAGTAGACAAACGTTCTTGGGCACAATTTCTTCGGTTACTAAACCAGAACGAACCATTACCACCAGATGGTCCATTTAAATTTATACTTCCACCAGCAGATTTGACAGTTTATAGAAACGTGTTTGACCCTCAAAATGTTATGTGTCATGCAAGTTTCAGTTCAAGCAACAATAGTTTTCTATGTATTGGTAAGGACTTTTATGACTTTGCTTCTAAATTCTACGAACCACCTAGTAACAGTTTCTCTGACTTTCAAGTTTGGTTCACAACAAATGGTGTGCAGCATATAATACCATTGTACTATGACTTTTATCTCGAATTGTCTTTCATATACAACTACGGAAAGTGCTGAAAAAGTATTGAAAAATATATTTTAGGGTAGATGGGTATATCTAACCTCTTTTCTAACCTCTTTTCTACCCTCTTGAATTTTCATGAATTTCATCGTAAATGTTTTGTCGAAACTTCTTCGTAATGAGTGTAAATGACCCAAAAATATATTTTAGGGTAGATGGGTATATCTAACCTCTTTTCTAACCTCTTTTCTACCCTCTTGAATTTTCATGAATTTCATCGTAAATGTTTTGTCGAAACTTCTTCGTAATGAGTGTAAATGACCCAAAAATAATGTTTAGGGTAGATGGGTATATCTAACCTCTTTTCTAACCTCTTTTCTACCCTCTTGAATTTTCATGAATTTCATCGTAAATGTTTTGTCGAAACTTCTTCGTAATGAGTGTAATGACCCAAAAATAATGTTTAGGTAGATGGGTATATCTAACCTCTTTTCTAACCTCTTTCTACCCTCTTGAATTTTCATGAATTTCATCGTAAATGTTTTGTCGAAACTTCTTCGTAATGAGTGTAAATGACCCAAAAATAATGTTTAGGGTAGATGGGTATATCTAACCTCTTTTCTAACCTCTTTTCTACCCTCTTGAATTTTCATGAATTTTCCCGAAATAAAAAATAAAACTAACTTTATTTTTTTATTTTTTTTATTTTGTATAAAAGATATGATTTCAACAATCGGCACAACAACAATTCAAACAACAACAGCACCAAACTCTTTAGTCATGAACCCAACTTCAATGTTAGTAGAGATGAAAAGCTTCATTCCTTCTTCATATACTTTTGAAACAGAAATCCAGAAGATAAAGCAAGAACTTTTAACATCTAATTTAAACTGTAGTGCGAAAGATGAAACAAATGAACAGTATCTTTATGAAATGCAGGACATTATTGACCATTTGCCTAAACTACCTGAAATCCAACAACAAAAACTCACTATTCCTGAATTCGACGAAATTGAAGTCAAAGCAACTGACTCAGTAGAAATAAAGAAGTTCATACGAAAGGTAAATTATGAATTCCTTGGTTTTCATTGCAACCATAAAGTTATGGACAAAGATTGCGACATGGTATATAAGAATGTTTCTGACCTTTACAAAACCCGGGAGTTTAAGACCTACGACAACTTTGTTTCGTTAGTTGCTGAATGTGTATGGCAGATAAGAGATAAAGATAGAAGAGGTAAGGTATGGAATGAACAGATAAAACCCGCAACTTTTGAGTTAAAGAGAGCAATTGACGCCTTAGTCATACTAGCAGGTAAGGTTTCAGAATATAACGCAAAAATGAACCCACAATGTTCTAAAATGTAAAGCAGCAATGAGGAAATATAACTACTCCGTCAAAGAGATAGAACGTATGAGAAACGACTATGCAGACTTAAAGAAAGAAGCAGAAAACCAGCAGAAGATAAAAATGGACATGTTAGCATTTCTGAACAAAAACTATCCAACAGCAGAAGATTTCCTTCTATCTGACGTCAAGAAGAAGTATAAAGAAACTTTCGGTATCGTTAAAACATTCGATGTACTAAAAAAGAAATTGAAGCTACGAAACTGTTTAGAGTCTCACGAATTCATAACGTTTACCATGTAAAACGCTTATAAAATAACTGGGGTAGAAAAGAGGTTAGATATCGGGTTAGATCTACCCATCTACCCTAAAATATATTTTTGCTGAATTCAGCAACAAAATGAACGAGGTCAGGATGTATGTTGCTGAATTCATTCATAACACCCTTTGTAAGCTCATAAAATGCTTGTTTTGAGGTCGAGCCACTTTTGGCTCCACCGTATTCTTTCAACCTGAAGCATTTAATATATGTAAAAATATATTGTTTTAAAATGGTATGCCATATAGCTTCTTGAATTTGTTAAGAAGTATTCGAACGTATTTTCCATCTGTATCTATAGTGTTTACATAAGCATAGCCCGCCTTAGTAAAATATACTTGTAATTTCCTATAGTTTACGCCGGTATAAAAGTAGAAAGAGTCTTGTTCTTCGCTATAGTAGTAAAACTCCAACGTATGCTTGCCATAGTCTGTAATTTCAATTGTTTCATCTTCTAGATCGTCGACAAATTCGAATACAATATCTCTAAACACCTTTGTTCTTATTGTCAGAATAAGTGACCCAACGTAAGTTTTCAAGTCTATGTCGTTTCTTATATGGTTTTATATGGTCTACAAAAGGTAAATTTTAGGATTCAGTATAAAATGAGTTGCAATGACAACATGTTTAAGATAGTGTTTTCCACCCATCTTCATATCAGCATATCCGTCATTTCGCTCCCATTCGCTTAAAACTCTTTTTGTCTTTTTGTTTCTGACTTCAAATGACTCACAACAGTGAATTTCATATTTCTCATCTAACAAACAAGTTTCCCAACGGTCTTCTCCAACAAACTCAGCGTACATTTCAAATAAAATAAAAAAAATATATTGTTTTAAAAATAAATTGTTTTCAAGAGTTTTCTACGATGTTAGAAAAGAGGTGAGAAAACGTGTTAGATCTAACATTCTAACATAAACTTTATTTTTGGGTCCTTTACACTCATTACGATGAAATCATGACAAAACATATACGATGAAGTCTTGACAAAACATATACGATGAAGTCTTGACAAAACATGTACGAAGAAGTCTTGACAAAACATGTACGATGAAATTCATGAAAATTCAAGAGGGTAGAAAAGAGGTTAGAAAAGAGGTTAGATATACCCATCTACCCTAAACTTTATTTTTGCTGAAAAATGACCAAAATTCTGAGTAAAATGGCATAAGATTGCTTCTCTCGGAAAAACCGAGAGAAGAGATTCCGTATGAAAATCGTGAAATTTCTCTAGACCGACTTCCTTCGGTCTTGCATAAAACTCTATGAAAATCATGAATTTCCTTAAGACAGAAAAAATAAAGTTAGTTTTTTATAAAATATTTTTTTTATTTTGTATGTAAGAACAGAAATGTTAAACATTGAGTTTGAAACAGTTAGAAAGATAGACAATGACACCAAATTGGTTAGAATTGGTGATTTAAACGTAAGATACTCAAAGAAATACAACAAATATTCTTTGTCAGACATTTTATCTCCATTTGGAAAGAAAACAAACGACTGGGTTAGAAATGCTTCAACTCAGAAAATTTTGACAAGAAATCCTGAGCTTATGATATCGGTAAGATTTCTATGGAACTACAGCATATCTTATAGACAAAAGTCTTATACCAATAGTTTTGTTATGGTTAGACCCAGTTGTTGGATATAACTTCATAACATATGGTTCATTCGACTCAGAACGTTGCAGTGAAGGCTTACTTTACATCGTTCAGAAACCGAAGGACTTCAATACAAAGAGATATAAGATAGGAAGAACATATAATATAACTCAAAGATATGACAGTACAGTCAATAGAGTCAAGGTTGTGTTTGTTAATGATATGAGAGCTGCAGAAACAGAACTACTTGAAAAGTTTGAGAAAATGTATGGTGCTCCCACGAAAGGTAAGGAAACGTTTGAAGTAGATGAGATAGATAAAGCTATAAAATTATTTGACGAAGTTACTGAAAAATACATGTAAAGCGTTTATTTTTACGCTTGACTTCAGATGGCTCAGGTAGTTCCTAACTAGCTCATTTATCTCTATAAGGTAGATTGCCTCATCTGCTGGGTCTATGTCGGTCATTGTTTCAAGACAAGTCTTTTACTTTTTCAAGACAAGTCTTTTACTTTTTCAAGACAAGTCTTTTACTTTTTCAAGACAAGTCTTTTACTTTTTCAAGACAAGTCTTTTACTTTTTCAAGACAAGTCTTTACTTTTTCAAGACAAGTCTTTTACTTTTTCAAGACAAGTCTTTTACTTTTTCAAGACAAGTCTTTTACTTTTTCAAGACAAGTCTTTGACTTTTTCAAGAAATTTTTGGTGTCAAGTTCTCAAATTTGAGAACAGTGGTCTTGATTTCAGACGATACCCGTACTTTTTCAAGACAAGTCTTTTACTTTTTCAAGACAAGTCTTTTACTTTTTCAAGACAAGTCTTTTACTTTTTCAAGACAAGTCTTTTACTTTTTCAAGACAAGTCTTTTACTTTTTCAAGACAAGTCTTTTACTTTTTCAAGACAATGTCCGACGTCAGTCAGTAAATTTTATCGTCCAACCTTACAAATGTAAACTTATATAGTTCTATTTTCTTCACTAGGGTCTAACACCAAAGTAGCCTTACAAATGTAAACTTATATCGTTCTATTTTCTTCACTAGGGTCTAACACCAAAGTAACCTATGTACATGAAATTTCACTGCATAAAAGGAAAAAACCTGCGCGAATCGGGATTTGAACCGAGGTCTTCGACGCCTGTAGCGAGGTAGCCCATACCACTGAGCTATGAGCCGCTTGCATATTTTTAAGTAAAATATAGTATATTTGTCATATAGTGAAGGATGACCAAACTTAAAAAAAATAACGCTAATTTTTAAAAAAATATTTTTTTTATTTTGTATGTAAGAACAGATATGACAACAACAGAGAACACAACAACTGCTATCGTTCATGAAGCTATAAATGAAGAATATGAGTGGGTTCAGTTTAACAAACAACTCCGTCTCATTCGTTCGGTCAAAGACGATATGTACCAAATGCAAAGTATTTTGACAGCATGTTTTGCTCCAGATACTAAGAAACCACAAGACTGGTTTGAATTAAATAGCACTCATGAACTCCTCAGTGAGTTTGAACATGTAGAACTTAAAAAGATGTACCAAGACAGACAAAACTTACCATCACATCTAAAAGGTATATATGTTCATAAGTTCCTAGTTAGTTCAATAGCAATGTGGGCTTCACCTCGTTATGCAATCTACATACTTATGCTACTTGACGAACTTTGTACAAAGCAGAGAGAAGATATGATGAAAGAAGACAAAAACATACAGAAAAGAATACCACGTTCGGTACCAAAAGGTAAGGAAAAGAACTATAAGTATATGATTTATACTGAAGAGATGGAAAATGAAGAAGACAGAGATATGGTTATGTTGCATTTAGTCAGAAGAAACAACAAAGGCTTTTACGACCTTGCTAAGATTTACAAATCTGACAGAAATTGGTTCTATCGCGAAAACTTACCGATTTCAATGACACCTAATGAAGATGTGAAACAAATAGTTCAAGATACGTTACCTCAAACACACTATGATATTAAAGGTTGTACAATTCTTACATTCAAAGAAGATTTGCCATTGTTAAAGGAAAAAATAACAGAGTATTTTGACAACTTCAAACAAGCAGAGTAAATGAACCATTTATTTTTCAAGCTTGACTTCAGATGGCTCAAGTAGCTCAATTAGGTAAATTGCCTCGTCAAATCCTTCTGGCATTCCGAGTCCTTCCATCCGACATTCCAAGTCCTTCCTTCCGACATTCCAAGTTCTTCCCGACAACAGGAAGAACTCTTCCTTCCGACAGGAAAAAATTTTCCTTCCAACTGGAAAAAAATTTCCTGACAACTGGAAAAAAATTTCCTGTTGTTCGTCCGTAAACCATTCAAATTTTCGAAAATTGAGAACTTTTTGGTCGAACGACAGAAAAAATTTTTCCTTCAGACAGGAAAAAAATTTCCCGACAACTGGAAAAAAATTTCCCGACAACTGGAAAAGTTTTTCCTTCCAACAGGAAAAGTTCTTCCTTCCGACAGGACACAAACGAATGTCCGACGTACCACCAACCGAGTCCATTCCAAAGCCAGAAGAACCGACAGCCCCAGCACCACAACAGACTTACTAAGACTAAACACTTACATTTTTCAAGCTTGACTTTTTACAATTTGAACTTTGTTCGCGTAGATATGAATTCTGAAAGAAGTATGAGGGTCTTGTATGACTTTGTACTTCTCCCATAGTTCATGTCTGTCAAACTTACCTGCCATGGACTCTTTCATAAGTTCCATGAAATCGTCTTCGGACAATCCGGGGAAAAGTACAATGTCAGTAAGTATTCTTTTAACATCCTTACTTAAACTCTTTGCTGTCTGTACACAAATGACAACTGAGATGTTAAAGTGTCTGAGCTTCTTAAGAATTCGACACATATCTTGTTCTCTGTTCTTAAGCAAAGGATGAGAGGCGAAATCATCTAAGATAAGAAGACACCTATGAGGGTATGTCTTCCAATCGTAAGATTGCAATTTCTTCGAAATGTATTCTATCTCTTTCTGTTTGTTTCTGAAGTGTTTCTTCTCTAATATTCTCTGCATTTCCTCATTAGGGTCTTTGAACTTAGAATTTATATACTCATTTATAGCATTATACTTCAAAACTCTTCTTTGGTACTTCTTTATCCAATCTAACAACTCAGTATCCTTTATGCATACTAACTTAGACTTCTTTATAATATCTTTGAACGAATTGACGGTTTGGTCAAATTGACCAGAAGTCGAACAAATAACAACTAACTCATAGAATGGGTTCTTCTCATCTAGTTCTTGTTGTTGTGCAGCCATTTTAAGATAAGTGAATGTCTTACCCGACCCAGGTGGTGCGATTAGACCTGTTATACCATTCTGAGCAAATAAGAACTTGTCATGTATAGGTTTTATCTGAGCATTTTCTAACTTCCTCTTGTTCTTGTTTAAAACATTCTCAAATTTCTTGTCAATGTCAGCAAACTTTTTTCTAACATATTTTTAGAAAAATTAAAATTTTTATCTTTTAGAAAATGTCTAGTGATTTCGCTATCTATATTCGAGACAAGCTTTTCGACAGCAAAACATCTGTCGACCATAAAATCTTACATAGTGTAAACAAGAAAGGTGAATTTGTTCTAAAGTTCTGTTTCTGGGAATATGACAAGAACCATAAAACATTAGGCAGAGCAGTCTTTAAGTTTGTCAATGACAGACTTGTTGACAGAGATGACGCCGATTGGAAAGATGAAGTCCAACAAAAGTTCTTAGAATGCAAAGAAGACACATGCGCTGTTCTTGAAGATGAAATAGAAAACAGAATAGAAGAGCTATTAAAGGACAAAGAACTTTTACAGAAATATGGTTCTGAGAAATTTGACGTCTCACCACCAGAAAAGAAGAAGAAAGGAAAGAAAGAGAAAAAAGTAGAAGAAGAGAAGAAAGAACCTGAACCAGTTCCAGAGAAGGTGAGATATGACATGTAAAAATAAAATTTTATTTTTAGAACATTTCTGGGTCAATGTCAATGTTCTCTTCCTCTTTAGGGGCAAACACTGGCTTAGACTCTAAAATCTTTTTACCCAATTTACCTTGAACTTCAACTATCTTAGACTCATAATATTCATAGTCGTCTGCTTTCTTTGGTTCATAAGGTATAACAAGTTTGTATGCTTTGCCTTCTTTAAGGTTTGAAAACCTTCTGTCAAAACTTTCTTTGACTGTTAACAAACCTTCTATGTCTAAGTCTTCAAATTTCGCACCATTTTTAGTCACAATAGCAAACTTAACTGGTTCGATGTTCCAAACTTTGCTGAATGAAGACTTTTCAAAATGGTAGAAGTAAACATTCAAATAAGCGAATGGGTCTAGTTCTTCTTTAAGTCCTGACATATATTTGTTTACTGAGATGAATTTTGCCATCTTTTCTATCGGATAAAAAATTATTTTTTTTTAAATTTACTCATAAAAATTTTTCTTTGTATATACACCATTCTGAACATCTAAAAGACTTTTGACATTTGCCAAGAATGTACGTTTAGAAGCTGCCATATAACCATATTCTTGACAATATTGTTTATACGAATCGTACAATGACCTTTCATCTAAACACTCAAAGTCGCTTTCTTCTATGAACAGTTCATATACACTCTTGTTTGCTTCTAACAATGTTTGTCTCTCTTCGTATGTGGAATTTGTCTTGGATTGAACTTTGAAATATCTAATGTCATGAAATATGAGAACAAGTGGTTGTAAAAGTCAGATGTCAAAGTTTCTGACAAAGCGTCAAAATATTCTGTATCTTGCATATGAGCTTCTGACGTTCTGACAACTACATATCTTCTGTCAGAACTTTCTAATCATCGGAACAACATTGTTTGAAACCATAACGAAGTTTGCAACATTTTCACAAACTCTTTGGTCTTTATACTTTCTTTCAACAACTCCAACTTTGTCTGTTATAAGACTCTTTCAAAGCATCTGAGTTCAAAACTTTTGTTGTATCTATACTTTTGAAGTTCATTGCAAACTATAAGTTCATATTCTCTATTGAGGAGTTAAATTTACCGCAGATGTTTTCTAAGTTTGTCATATTCGGGTTCGAATAGCCCTCTAACAGTTGCATAAAATATCTGTAAAGAAAGTATTCTTACCAGTTCCTTGTTTTCCAATTATAATGAGAGCAGTTTCATTTTTAGCACTTGGATGTTGTAAGATGTTTGCAAACCAACATAAGATATACTCATAGACTCTTTCGTTTCCATTGCATATAATTTCTTTGACATGGTCTAACCAAGCTTCTATAATATTTTCTTTCCATTCTACTTGTTCGTATTTATATCCAGTGAAGATAGAATAGAAGTTTGGAGAAGGTGTATAGAACTTTATACCTCGAACTGAAAAATCTTCAAGTTTTGACAATAAGATATCCCAAGCAATCTAACATCTTCATGCCAACTTGTACAACTTTTATTTTCTTAAGTTTCTGTCTACATTCTTGTTCAGACACTATTGTTGCTCTTGGTTTGTTAAGACAACATCCCATTCTTTCATGACATAACATTCTGGGGCAGAGTCAACATAAATGACTAAACGTTTCAAATTCTCGACTGCTTTGTTATAGTCTCTAAATGGACACATATTTCTGAATGCTTGGAAGTCATAAAAATCTGAAACATCTATTCTGTACATTTTTATAAAAATAAAAAAAAATATTTTTTTTATTCTTGACTTTGTTGTTCCATTTGTTGCATTTGTTGTTCTTGAGCTATTTGTTGTTGAAGTTGTTCTTGTAATACAATACTTTCACCAGTTGCATCTTCCAATTCGAAACTTTCTGCCGTCATTGACAAATACATAGGACATAAAAGTTTTACAGGAACAAAGTTTGCGTCAACTAAGGTTAAGTTTATGTTTGCTAAAGTGTTTGAGTTTACTAAAGCTGAAAATTCTGCATTCGAATGAACAATAGGCAAACCAGCAGAGAAAGTGTTGTTTATACGCATGAGTATCTTTTGGTCATAGTAGTTTCTGTCAACATTCGAATAGCACTTTGAACCTAAGTTTGAAACAATATATAAAATAGGTGTGCTTAAAGTCAATGGAACAGATAGACCTTGTATGACACCTTTTCCTGTTATAGGAAACTGTTGGTAGTAAAAACCAGATATAAGTTTTGTATTATAGCTCATATCGTTTATAGTAAACTCAGTCGGACATCCAAACATAATGAAACCTGCTCTAGTTGCAGCACATGTTACATCCGTCCTTAAAGTATTAAATAAGTCAACAAAAACCTGTTGGTGGTATATCTGAGTAAGTATCTTCAAAGAAGTATTTTTTACCATTCACAACAACAAAATCTTCTGGTGTCAAAAGAGCAAAACAGGCTTTAGTCGTCATCGTGTTTAAGGTCAGTTTACAATATCGTCCTTGAGGACTTTGTAAGTTTGTTGTTATAGAATTATATGACTCAGGGTTTTTAGTCGTAATAGTATAAACCATTATATCTTCTGCCATTTACTTAGCAACTAAATTTTAATGAAATGTTGTGGTCGTCAAATATTTTTATAACGTCTGGGAAACTATATTTTAAGTTCAACGTTTCACCTCCTTTCATAACGTATATCTTGTCAATGACATTATATGAAACACCACAGCAAGCAATGTCGGGCTCTATTTCTTTGATGTTTATATCGTCTGCCTCTGTCAAAAGTTTCAATAGTTCTTTCAAAACTTCATGAGGTGCGATGACATATGAGTTCACTTTTACAGGGTTGTGTTCGACCAAGTTTAACATTATACCCAAAGCTTGACAAATCTTCTCCTGAGTTTTAAGTTTGTCTTTTCAGTTGTTGGTAGTCGTTTCGAATATCTGCAACAGAACTTAAGTCTCTGCTAACTTCAGGGTATGTTGGTTGTTCTTTTACAGGAACTATTGTTATACCATCTTCGTCTTCGTATGGTTTCCCCACTTCAACATCTCTTTCTTTGACATTGACAACAACACTTTGACTGTTTGTTTGAGTTGGTGAATTTAACTTCACATCTGCCACCGCCATTAAACCTTTTGAAACACTCACGCTTCTATTTTTCGGAAATGACATTTTACTTAGAATAAAAAGATGGACGTATTCGAGTATCTCTTCGAATTGAAGCAAAACAAAGTTTACACACACAAACAATACAAGTTCATTGACAGAGTAGTTCTTTACACAAACAATGGAAAATGTTATAGAATAGCAGTCTTTGCTGAACCAAAATATTTTCATAAAGCAAAGAAAGTTGGTATAACTGAAATGGTGAAAGTTCTTGAAGCAGACAAAAATATAACTTCAAAACTTACAGATATTTCTAAAGGAAAGTTTATAATACAATATTATGTCAAAACTGGCGTACTGTCAATATTTGACGGAGAGAAGTCAGTTCAAGAACAACTTACTGACCTGCTGCCAAAATCTGCTCGATGGAAGCTGTCGTTATGCCAATCTGAGGAGCTCCAGCAGGTTTCATCGAACGAATCTTCAAAAGAGCATCTTCCGTGAAAAGTGCTATTGGTTTTGTAAACTTCTTTGCTCTCAGTTCATCTGGACCGTCTCTGTCACCAGTATATTGTATTTGTACAGTACCAACAGTTGAAATACCACCCATAAAGTCTTCTGAGTCAGCAAATGGAATGCCAAGCCAAAAGTTTGAACGGTCTCCATTTGTATATTGAGTTTTTTGACCTCCTGTATGAGTCCATACTTTCACATATGGCATAATAGAACTTTGCATTTCAGGGTTAATGGTTGTTGTGAAGTTGTTGTTAAAGTTCATAGCATCTAATGTCAAGTTGTATGACCTCATATCCTCAACTGTAGAATATTCTTCTCTTGGATAGTATTTGCCATCTATGTTATATGATATTTAATACCGGGTTGTAGAAACAAGAATAGTCATTTATAGTTCGTCTGAACAGTACAAACATAGTATCTGCATGTTTCATTGCAGTTGTTAAGGCAATATCTGTTCTTGCACCTGGGTCAGCACTTTGGTTTCCAACTTCACCTGCAAAGTCTTTGACAGATATTTGGTGTATAGGGAACATAAGTGGAACTGCAATATATTTGGCAGCTAAAGCATTTGAAATATCTGGGTCCAACATATAGACTGCAAGTCTGCTTTCTATTCTCTTGCATTCAAACTTTTCGCATGTGAACTTAACTGGGTCCCAAGCAGTTCCAGCAGCATTGAAGTAGTAGTTTACTTCATTGTTGAAGTTTGAGAAACCAAAGTCTAAGTCAACTTTGTCTTTGCAAAAGTCGGCGAATGACATTTTATTTGTTCCCACTACTTCTGTAAGAGTGAATGGGTCTTGTGTTGGTGCAATGACTAAGTTATTTTTGCTTGGAGTAAGTTCGATAGAAATTTTTCCTGCCCAGTTTGGCAAGTATCTTAAAAACCTGAAGATGAGGAAAGATGACAAAGGAACTCTAAGTTTCAGTTTTACTTTAGTGGCAGCAGTTCCATCTGAACCAGAAAGGTTAACATAAACTCCTGGAACGTTAGGGTCAAGTCTTCTTATTTTCTCAATATTTGCATACTGGTCTGTTTGTTCTCTAGCTTGTGGTTGTACTGAGTTTCTCAAAGCGAACCATTCATAGTTTGCCCATGTTACTGTTTGAACTAAGTCAGAGTTAGAATATATCTTATATCCCATGAAAACTTCTGGAGCATATTGGTATCCGACATAGAAAATTCCATTGCAACCTTTCTTGTCAGACAACTTGGCAGAAGGTTTTATTTCAATGTCTTGTTCCACGTATAAGAAAGAGTTGTCAATAGAAATTATATGAAACCTGTCGCAAGCAATATCTACTGTTGTTGAAGAACCTTCTCCAAACTCACCTACGTTTCCATAAGAAACAGCAGTTGTATATTCGTAAGTTCCAGGAACTATTTCTGACCTTCTAATGGCATTGTCGCATTCGTTATACCATTCGGAAACATTTCCGTTCATGGCATCCAAAACTGTTGGCGTTATATTCTGAGCGGCGTACATTTCATATGGGTAAAAATATAGAATAGTTGGATTTATATGTCATAATAGAACCCACGTGGACCAAGCTTTACTTTCTTCCTGACTGAGTTTTTAACTCTTCTTTTTCCTTCATTGCCCTCTGCTTGAAGTTGTTGCATCTTTGCATTATGTTCATCTAGTATGTTGCAAATTTCCCATGTCCTTTTTGCCTTTTGGCTCTGGTCGCCCATCTCAGGTAACCTATATCCTAGAAAGAGTTTGTCATAGTCTGTATTTGAGTCTTCGCGTATTGTTTGCATGACTCTTTCCTGAGTTTCCGGTTCAAGCTCTTCAAACAGAGCTTGTCCATATGGAATAAGCTCGTTTCCAAATATATGTTTTTGTAGCCATTCTGGTTTTCTTTCCATGTTACCAATAATATCTTTTGTGAATGGGAAAGCTTTTACCCAATGTTTCAGTCTTGCGTCATTTATTTCTGTAGTTGGTTTTATTTTGTCAAGGAACATGTTTTTCAATACTAACATTTCATTTGGTACTGTCCATTTGAGTTTTCTTAAATATTCATCCCTTCTCGGTTCATTGTCTGCAAAGTAAGTTTTTATGACATTTTGTAAACTTTCGTTTGCAAGGTCATGTACAATAGGTTCTCTTCCTTCTGTCTCCCTAACTTTCTTTCTAAACTCTTCACCAAATATACCATCTCTATGGTTCTGTGTAGTTCTTTGAGATAAATGTTCTAGAACGTCAGGTGTTATATTTCCATCAGCCATGTTCATTTCATACTGGTCCAAAATATCTGCATGTTTCATATCTTTCAATGGCATTAAAGCCGCGCTGAAAATACCAGCTAAATCTGGTTCACCATTCATTTCCATTGCGTCTACAACATCTTGGAATTGTGGTTGTAAGTTTATGAACCACCTATCCGGATTAGCTTTATGACCCCATCTCATTGTAGTTCCATCGTCTGCAGAAACAAAAGTAGGTTTGTTTCCATATTGGTTAGGTTCTGAATGAACTTTAAACAATGTTTCATTTCTATATGTTTTCTTGAAATTTAACCTTTTATTTTCACCGAGTTCATCCGAAGATTGAACGTTAAATGCTCGTAAGTAAAAAGGGTTGTTGTATTTGTGTACATTATCTTTCAGTACTTCCATTCTATGCTGGATATTTTCATCTGATGTTGGAGTCTTTTGTATGTCGGCGAACATTTTTCGATATTCTTCTACTATGTCAGCTGAATTTTTCTTAGACTCTTGGAAAGATTCCATATTCTCCGCATACACTTGTTGAGGGTCAAGATTTTTCGGCTGTTCCAAATCTTCATCTAGTTCTGTGAAGTTAGTTTCCAAAGGAGGGACTTGTTCGTTTCCTTCTGGCTCTTCTAGCTGTTGTTGCTGAACTATTTCTTCCATGTCTGGTTGTATCTGAACTTCTTCCTGTGGAGTTTCTTGTACCTCATCTGCTGGCATTTCATATATTCCGAGACCGTTTTTAACAAGTTCCCTATTTAAGCCATCCGCATTCATAACCCTTTCTTCTTTCGTTCCGTCTCTATTTTTTACGCGTTTCATGAAGATAGTTGAATTATCATTTATCTCTGACACCAAATATCTCGGAGTAAATTCATCCATGTCATTTGGATGATATGCTATTAAATCATATCCCTTAGCGAGCTTGTATTTTCCAGGTTTGAAATTATATCCCATTTGGTGCTGAACCATAAAGCTAAATAGGTTCGGGTCAGTATTTCCTTCCTTGAACTTTCTAATAGCTTCTTTATATCTGTCACTAAAGTCAAGAGTATCTGGGTAACCATAATTTTCCTTAAGCATTTTTAAGAATTCTTGGTTTCCTTGTTCTCTACTTCTTTTATGTCCTTGCTCTGTTTGTGGTTGTTGCTGTGCAGTGTTTTGAACTGTTGGTTGCTGTGCAGTGTTTTGAACTGTTGGTTGTTGTGCAGGGTTTTGAACTGTTGGTTGTTGTGCTGGTTGTTGTGTTGGTTTTGGTGCATGCCTGTGTCTGTGTCCATGTGACGATGTAAATGTTCTAGGTAGTCCTGGTGCAGGTGCTTCTCTTGAGAGGTTTGGTGGTATATAAGTTCCACCAGCTGGCACATATGTTCCATCTGCAGCGTAATGTCCTACCTGACTTTTCGTTCTTAAGAAAGCATTTACTAGGTCTGTTTTGGTCTGTTGTAACTCTTTTTCTTGACTTTTCACAACAGTTGCTCTAACGGCGTCATAGGCACTTTGAACTGCCTGTCTCGTTGCTGCATCTGTTATTTTCGTCATATTTTGTGCTACTTCTCTTAACTCTTTGTCGAAACCTTCAGACTTCAGTTTCTTTCCAGATGAGAAGTCGTTCACTAGTTTCACCTTACTATGAAGAGCTTCGAAGGCATTCTTAAAGTCAGCATTCATTAAAGCTTCATTTGAACTGTCTTCATCCGCTTGTATTTTTGTCCTTATTGACCCTATAAGTTGGGCTGCTTTAGCGTTGGCTTGGGCATCTAACCAGTCATTATTAGCTTTTATATATTCTGCGCTTTTCATTGCCTTTTGCATGGCTGCGTCGTTATTTTTACTTTCTTGTGCTAAGTTTTCATACTGTACGGTTTGGTTTTGCAACTGTAAAAGTTTTTCTGCCTTTACATTTGCTTCAACTTCTTTTTTATACTCATCGCTATCCATATATGTCTTCAGGGCTTTTTGTTTTATTTCTTCATCTTTCAGTACTTTATATTGAGTAGTATGGTTTTTCAAATTTATAACATCTTGTTCCATTTTTGCTACTTCTGCTGCTTTTTCTGACACTTTTTTCGCATATTCCTCTGTACTTAGTTCTTTCAGTTGTTCTTCTTTCTTCTTTTTCTCTACGTTTAACTCATTTAGTTTCTTTGTGTGTCTGTCATATTCTAGTTTCTTTTCGTTTTCACTTATTTGTTTCTGTATGTCTATGTTTGACTTTTTGACATCTGTTATTTGATTTTTGAGTGAACTCAAATTCATTTGACTTTGAGGGTTATAGGCTGTTCCGTCTGCAGCTCCACCATAGCCTGCCATTTTCGCTAAAAGTGCCGCTCTTAAACCTCCACTCTGTGCACCTATAACTCGGTTTAAAAGCATAGGGTTGCTTGACATTTGTTGCAACATAGTGGGGTCATTCATAATTTGTTGTTGCAACTGTTGTTGTGGTGTCAGTTTTACTATTGGATGTTTCAATGCTCTCTTCCTCTTACGTATATTCTTACGTAGCTTACGTGGCATTTTAAGTGAAGTTAAAAAGCGGTTTTTGACAGATGTTTTATTGTGACTTCTTCGTAAAGACTTTGTTGAGATTTCTTCGTAAATGAGTGTAAATGACCCAAAAATATATTTAGGGTAGAAGGGTATATCTAACCTCTTTTCTAACCTCTTTTCTACCCTCTTGAATTTTCATGAATTTCTTCGTAAATGTTTTGTCAAGACTTCTTCGTAAAGACTTTGTTGAGACTTCTTCGTAAAGACTTTGTTGAGACTTCTTCGTAAATGACCCAAAAATATATTTTAGGGTAGAAGGGTATATCTAACCTCTTTTCTAACCTCTTTTCTACCCTCTTGAATTTTCATGAATTTCTTCGTAAAGACTTTGTTAAGACTTCTTCGTAAAGACTTTGTTGAGACTTCTTCGTAAAGACTTTGTTGAGACTTCTTCGTAAAGACTTTGTCAAGACTTCATCGTAAAGACTTTGTTGAGATTTCTTCGTAAATGACCCTAGTAGTATATTTTTGGTGTAAATTTCATGAAAATTCAAGAGGGTAGAAAAGAGGTTAGAAAAGAGGTTAGATATACCCTTCTACCCTAAAATATATTTTTGGTGTAAATTTCATGAAAATTCAAGAGGGTAGAAAAGAGGTTAGAAAAGAGGTTAGATATACCCTTCTACCCTAAAATATATTTTTGGTGTAAATTTCATGAAAATTCAAGAGGGTAGAAAAGAGGTTAGAAAAGAGGTTAGATATACCCTTCTACCCTAAAATATATTTTTGGTGTAAATTTCATGAAAATTCAAGAGGGTAGAAAAGAGGTTAGAAAAGAGGTTAGATATACCCTTCTACCCTAAAATATATTTTTGGTGTAAATTTCATGAAAATTCAAGAGGGTAGAAAAGAGGTTAGAAAAGAGGTTAGATATACCCTTCTACCCTAAAATATATTTTTGGTGTAAATTTCATGAAAATTCTGAGTAAAATGACAGATGTTTATATGACACTTTCTCCGGTTTATAGGACCTCTCTCATATTCTAAACATCTTCGGGGCTAGAGGGCACGAAGTGCCTGGAAGCCCCACTACCTTTTTTTTTTTTTTTTTTTTTTTTTTCTTCGAGTATTAAATCTACTATAAATGCATTACCTTTTGAATTTGATAAATTTCTAATAAGCTGCAGATATTACAATATTGATCCCTCATATTTCTGTATGTATCCATATCAATGCATAGAAAATGTAAACACAAATATATTTTTAGCTTGCTAAATTCTCTATTTAGGAATTCCAAAAATAAACATTTATTTGTATTTTATGATCACATAAATTGTTTGATTTCGTTAATCATATCCGCAAAAGTATTAATTTGTGGTACCAAGATGGGTAATTTCCGGGAATATTTATGCTAATGTAGTTTGCTTTCAAGTTTTAAAACCAAATGGAGCCATTTATGTTAGTAATTCGAATATTTTATTGAATTTCTGCACTTTTTCGAACTGTAGTTCTAACGACAAAGGTGGATTTGCTAATCAAAAATATAGAGATAGTATTCACCTAAAAATTTGTTGTTTCAACTGTTCTGCCAAATATGATGGTGCCTATCTATATAATGAGATTTCGAGTGCTAATGATAAGAGAACTATCATGAATTCGTGCTCAATTAGTAATACTTCTTCAGATGATGATTCATCTTTTTTTATTTACTATAGTAAAATTCATGTTATTTATATGAACAATTCCTTTAATTATGCTGCTATGAATACATTTTGTGTTGTTAAGCCAGGTGGGGCAAATATAGCTAATTTTACATTCTGTGATATATATAATGATTCTACTCCTTCCCAAGGATTCTTTTGGAGTAATTCAATGCCATTTGAAATAAATTTTTGCGAATTTGTCAAAAACAATCAAAATGATAATAGTTATGAATTAGTATCATTTAACGGGGTCTCAGGAAAAATTAGATCTTCGATATTTTATCAAAAGTAATATAAAAGTTTATGATTCTTTCTTCAAAAATAATGCTGAAAAGTCTGATACATTGTCAAGTATTGTATATACAATAAATGATTTACCTTTCAAATTTGATAAAATTGTTGTAAACTGCAAATATCTCACTAATCCATCTTATTTATGCTTATATCCATTTCGATGTCACAAATTAATCAACATTAATCTCATGTGACTAAATGTTTATTTGTTCTACAACGCAATATAAAATCAAAAATAGAATTTCTTAAAAGATATAAACAACATGATTTTTACAACAAAGCAAATTAATATAAATATATATATACAAAAAATTACATTTCTGGTTCAATGATACGATCACACGTTTCGTAAATTCTCATGCAAAGTATTAAGTTTGCTATGAGGCCAATAAGTATAAACAACAGTGCAATCACCAACAAAGCAATACCTAAAGCACTCCAATGTATTCTTCTAGGCGTAGCAGAAGCTGTTGGATAAGCAGTTTCTGTTGGTTGCGGAGAAAACTCTGCTGAAGGAGTAAACATTGATGTTGGAGGGAAAGGAGATCTTGTTGGAGAGAGCGATCTCGTTGGAACTGGAGATGGCTCCATAGTTCTGAAAACAGTTGGATAAGCAGTTGACATTGCCGTTGAGAATGGTGTGTTGAATGGCGTTTCCTGATTCGTTGGATGCAATGTTGGAGAACTAGCAGGAGTTGTGTAAGGCGTTTCAAATGGTGTCGTAAAATGAGGAGTTTCAAATGGAGTGATTGCATTTGTAGTGTGTGCTGTGCTAAAAGGTGTTTCAAAAGCAGTTGTAAATGGAGTGGTAACAACTGTCTCATATGGTGTTTCAAAAGCAGTTGACCAAGCAGTTTGGAATGGAGTTTCGAATGCAGTTCTGTAAGGTGAGTATGTAGCTGATGGTTCTTTGATGATTTTCTTAGTTTCACCATCAGAGAGAGTATAAATATCATAACTACTCTTTGAAATGTTAATATTGCTCGTCTTATCTTCTGAATACAAATAAATTGTTTCAATTGCGATGCTATCACCATTAACATAGCACGATTGAGGATTAGTTGTTGCAGTACAATTCTTAAACATCAGATAAATGAGAGCTGTCTGTCCTTGAAAGTATCTAACATAACAGCCACCTGCTGTATTTCCTGCATTCGAATCTTGAAAGATAATACGTCTGAGTCTAAGGTTGGATTGGACTGCATCTGCCGTATAATAGAGGCAGCCTCCGGTGCCCCCGGCCGAACAAGATGTAAATATTACTGAATCAACAACAAATTTTGCAGCTTCTTGAACGCACAGGCCTCCGCCATTGCCCGTAACTACGCAGTTTGAAATATTACTTGTGAAAATTTTAGTATTCCAGCTATATGAAAAGATAGCGGCACCGCTACCTGAGAATGTTATACCGCTGAATGTGCACAAAACGCATTTGAACTCAGCATCAAGTACAGATCTTGAATTAAAGTTTGTATTCCAAATCGCATTATCGGCAGCTTTATCTAAATAGATTACGGAATCTGTAAAACGGTTAAAATATGACTTTTTAAATGATATCGTATTTCCAGGATTTGATTGTAAGAATTTGTTTGCAAAATTTGATATCTTGCAGTCAGAGATTTTCAGCCTAGGATGAGAAAAGGCTGATGGGCGCATTAGAAATGGACTCCTTTCTATATATGTACTCATCATAAGCCCAGTTAGAGTCGTATTAGCCCTGGGCTTACTCATTTTCTGTAAATTTAAAACGGCAACGAAAATTTTATAACAGGATTTTCACGAGCAAAAGAAAGTGATTGCAATTTCAACATATACAGTGATATTGAGAAATTTTCTTCGGCTGAAAAAGCTCTAAATTTAACCATTATTGATTTGGATTTTAAAAATCTGTTTGTAACATGCAAGAACTAGAAAATTATCTTTAATAACTTATAAAATTTAATTATGCATGAGTTGAAGTAGAGACAGTCATAGATTGAACTCAAGGTTATTTGCAAATAGGTATTAAGTGATATCCTGATAACCATTGTATGGATATTACAAATACTACTACTATCCTTTAACTTAAAGCTATATAATACTATAAATGAGGAAATTCCATTGTAATCATAAATTATTATGTTTCATAGAGTAATATATATATGCTCAATGAATGTATTTTAGTGAATATTAAAATAAATCATTATTAATAAGGTCTATAATACTATAAATACGGAAAATTCGTTTAAAAATGATTCTTAATTTGATTTTTAATTCAATATCTATATGTTAATGTCCATTTTTTAGATAGGCCATTTAAGAGTTTCAATATTGAATCATTTAAAAAGATATTAAAGGAAAATTTTATTTAATAAAATTAGAAAGACAAATAGTATATCAAAAACATTAAATTTATGAAGTTTGCTGATATAATTTATTTATAATAAAGCATAAAAGATAGTTAATTTAATTTATAAAGAATATAATTTGTAGCATTTCTCGATATCTTCCTTTGTAACAGCTGTTCTCTTCTCCTGGATGTGTTTGATAAAGTTTGCAAGTACTTCACCGCATTTCTTCTTTAATTCGCCTGAAAGCATTCTTTCTTCTCCTTCTGGGAGAACTCCTGGTCCGTAATGCTTAACAATGCGTTCGTATTCAGCGTCGTCCTCTAAGAAGATCTTTAAGTAGTAAGTTGGGATATCAACTGCAAGATTTGCTCCTTTTTCTTTATGCTCTTGGATTGTATCCTTACCGCCGGAGAAGGCAAACTTGTTGATCTTGGTTGCAATCTCTTTTGGTGTATTCTTGATGTAAATTGACATGTAATCGCGAATTGAGTTCTTTTGTTTGCCGCCCTTTTGGTTTTGGTCGTTTGGTGAAGCGCCGAGAGCGAACTTGGCAAGCTTTGGCATCTTTTGGCCCGACTGTGGAGCTGGAACGAAGCCTCCGAAGATTGCGTATGGTTTTTCAGCGGAAATCTTGTCGCAGAGTGAGCATGCGAAGTGGAAAAGCTTCTCTTGTGAGGCACGGAGTAACATTAAGCACTTAAGGTCCTTCTTTCCTGGGAAAATCTTCTCGACATATGCTGGAATGGCGCAGGTAGCTTCTTGGAAGACGGCATCTATTGTACCGACATTGACGTTGTCGTCTGTGAAGAAATTGTGGAAAAATTCGCCAAGTGGGCACTTTCTCTGGAGATCACAAAGCATGACGTAATTTAAGGCGACAGCAGATGTATTTGTAAGGACAATTGTCTTCTCCTTGTTGAATTCGAAGGCAAGGATGTCCCTGATTGTCTCTTCTGTCCACTTCTTTGCTGCATCGTACTTAATGTTGTCAGTTTCACGTGTGTAGGCCTTGTAATCGTTAACGTGGATGAAAAGATAGCAGTTTAATGCTGTTTGAAGGAATTTGGCAAAGTTAAGGAACAATGCATGACGAAGTGTTGTCAAGCGATCGGATGGAGAGATTGGAAGATAGATGTAAAGTGGCTTTCCTGATGTGGCATGCTCAATGGCAGCGTCAAATCCGATGTGACCATTGAAGATGTGGCGCTTTAATGCAGCAATTGGTTGTGTTTTTGTTAATTCGGTGAATTTAGCAACAAGTTCGTCTGTGATTGGCAATGCACCGTATGATTCTGGTTTTGGAATGATTGATTCGATTTCTACAGCTGGTGATTCCATGCTTTTGATATATAACCAAATACGATTATTTTCGATTCAATATTCGTGATTTTTGGCCACTCATTAAGAAAATGAAAGAATATAGTAATTGGAGCAAATTATGATGGCAAAGTTTTCTTCTCAAAAAAAGTTCAAAAATTTTGAAAAAAAAATTCATGAATAGTTTTTTTTACAGTTTTGTATATTAATGAAAAATGTCTTCTAAATCATTCCTATTTTCTGCACTTTGAAGGGAAGTTTTTCCATCTTCATTGATTCTATTCACAGCTATGAGAAAATAAACGATCATGTTCAATCTTTATATTCTAGTTTCCAATTAATATCTTCTGAATTGATATCTGCACCATAATGAATAAGCAATTCTAAATTAACTTTTATTAAATTATAGTATTGTTCTATGACTGTTTTGTCATTGACAATAGATTCAATTTTGTAAGCCCTGAACATTGATGAGGATATATGCATAAACGCGAAGGGAAATTATAATGATTACAGTGAATTTTATACTTATCAAAATGATAGGGCAAGTATTGAATTGTAGAAACAATACTATCATTGGAATTGACTTTTTCATCATTAGATTTCATATGGCAATCATATACTTTTATATTGCCATTATAAAATAGCTTGTAACAATCATTAAATGAGAATATAGATGATTGAATTTTTCCTGATCCATAATTATTAATTACAAGAGCTCCTTCATTGTCATATTGGCTATTTTTTAAGAATTGACATAAAACTATCTCAAAAAATACGCCATAACTCCAAAATATCCCTTGTCCTGGAGCAGAATTATTATATATATCACAAAAAGTAGTATTTGCAACGTTTTGTTCTCCAGGTCGAATGACACAGAACGGATTATATCCTGCGTAATTATACGAACTGTTTATGTCTTTCATTTCTATTTTACTTTTTTCAATCCATAAAGAGGTATCACTTTCTGCTTTCGTTTCACTAATTGAGCAATCAAACAAGTAATTTCTCTTTCCTTTCTCGTCAGATAACTGATTATAGAGGTAGGCACCATCATCTCCTGTGGAACAGTTGATGCAGCAAATTTTTTGGTGAATACTTTCTCCATTGAAATGACCTACACAACCTCCAAGTGTATTTGAGCTACAATTCGAAAAAGAACAAAAATTTAATAAAATATTTGAGTCTCTCATAGATATGACTCCATTTTGCTTTAATCCAGAGAAATGGACTTCATCAGCAAATAAATTTCCAGACTTCGTCCATTCTGAATTCTTAGTAATGTTCTGAGGAATTGCTTCATTTCCATAGTATTGGTACCATACTTCAATACTCTTATGAATACAAGTTAAGAGTTTTATAGATGTAAAATTTCAATCATTACAAAAAATTGACTATTTTATCAGAATTGTTTGAAAAAAAATGGCCGTATACTTTTTTTATATTTTTGCTGTGTGTTACATCCGTCTGTTACTTTTATTCTATAAATTTGTTTCATATTTTCATGTATCCATAATTTTGAAAGAATTTCAATCACAAATAGATCGATGGGAAATTTGAAGAAGGAAAACTATCGTTCAAATAATATAACACTATTCTGTAGATTTAAAATATAATAGATTTCTTTTATTTTTGATAAAATTGAATTTTCAAATTTTTGGACTAATCAGAGAGGGAAAAAAATCAGTGGGTAAAAATAAACTTTTTAATAATATTCATATTAATTTCAGGATTTCTTGTTTAATTTTTTTTTCGCATGCCGAGTAGATACTTATTATGCAGCATGTAGAGATGCAATTTATCTGGAAATAATTCAACTTTGCTGTTTTTTCATAACTAAACACAATTGACAATTTTATAAGTTTTATACTTTTCAAGAAACAAACTATTATTTGAACTGCCATTAGGGTGTTGAAAGAGTATTTTGGAATATCATATATTCATTATACCCTGCAATATAAAGAGCAGATGTTCCATCTATATCATTTATAATGTTATATATATTATCACATTGATACAATTTATAAAATGTTCCGCATTACTTTAATTTGAAATTTATAATAGAAGAAGCATAAAAATAATCCTACTTCTATATTGATACAAGCAAACAATCGATAGGTTTTCCATGTGTCCACATTTGATAATAAATTTGATAAAATTAAAAGGTAGTACTTTAACAGTTGAAATGAAACTTTCAGATAAATCATCTTCTTCAATATTATTTTTCAAATAACAATCATAAGCTTTCAAATCACTATCAGAAATAATTAAGTAACACTTATTATATAAAAATATTGAAGATCTGATTTCACCTGTTCCGGAATAATAATAGATCAGACCATGTTGGTTACTGAATTGATGATTTTGGACGAACTGGCACTTCTTTATCTCAAAGTTCGCCCCAAAAGACCAAAATATTGCTTGAGATGGACTACTATTATTATATATTCTACAGAAGGTGATATTTGCATCGTTTTCTTTGCCTGGCTGAACAACACAAAAAGCATTCATATCAGCATAGTTATGAGAATTATTCATAGCATTTATATCGATTTTACTATGTTCAAGCCAAAAAGATGAGTCACTCAATGCTTGTGTTTCACAAATAGTACAATCATACATAAAATTTCTTTTGTCTTTCTCATCATATAGGGAATTGTATAGATAGGCGCCATCATCTTCTGTGCAACAATCTAGACAGCATATCTTAAGGTGGATACTCTCTCCATTAGTATGCGAAACACATCCACCATAAGCAGTTGAGCTACAATTTGCAAAAGAACAAAAATTTATTAAAACATTTGATTCACTAACAGATATGGCTCCATTTGGCTTTAATCCTTGAAAATGAACTTCATCTGCAAAAATATTTCCAGATTTTGTCCATTCGGCATTCTTAGTAATGTTTTTGGGTCTTTTGCTAAAGTATTGGTACCATACATCAATACTCCGATGAACGCCAGTTAAGGATTTAATCATTATGTTTTATAACAAAAAGAATTCACAGAACATCAATAAAAATATTTTTGTCACTTTTTTTAAAAGTACGTTTTAAATTTTTCAAATTCGATGCTTACAGCAGCGATTGTCAAAATTCACTCAGGAAACTATGATACTACAACTGTTTATAATTTAAAGCTTGCTAACCTTGGCCTTACAGATGTCTCAAAACTCGGAGATCTTTGCCCAGATCTGATTCGTCTAGATTTAACCGGAAACAAGCTTGCAAGTCTTGCTGGAACAGAAAACTTATCAAAACTTGAAGAATTAGTCTTAGATAATACATCTGTACCACTCACAGGCATTGGAAAAATCACAAGTCTTCAAAAGCTTTCATTAAGAGATTGCGGACTTTCCCAACTAAATGCTATTAAACCAGAAGAGTTCTCTAAACTTGTAAATCTTCGTTATCTTGACCTTAGACAAAACGCTATTGCTCAGCAATCAACACTCCCACAATACATTCGCCAAATGTTACCATCTGTTAGACAATTAAATGGTGACTTCTTATTATTCCCGAAGTTTGATAATAGCGCAATTCAAAAACCTCCAACAGTCAGCTTCGCAGGACCAGATTCTACAGTTAATTTTGATGATGTTGAACAGCGCTTAAACAAGCAAATGGATGAAGTTGCTGCCTCTATCAAAGATTGCCAACAAAGACTTTCTGAGGCCGAAGTTCTTGTACACAGACGTCTGAAGGAAGTTAAGGATTATGCTGAACAAATCATAGCCGATGATGGCTCGAAATCTGCCAAATAAAGTGTTTATTTTGATAATATTTTATTTACTATTTATTTCATCATTGTTGCTAAAGAAGGATGTTTCAATACAGATAAACTTTAGCATAAGTAGATCAGAATTAGCATTTATTTGACGATTTGTTTTATTTTGAATTCAATAAATGAATAAATGAAAGATAGACCAGATTCAATTGATAAACTGCGTAATTTACACAGATTTATTAAATAGAAATTAAAAAATTCCATAAAATAGAATAAATTTTTATGAATTCTAAAGAAATTATAAGAATAATATTGTCTATTTTTCATACAGTTTATTGGAGTGTAATATTAGAGGCCGGTGGTCTAAGTCTCTTAATAATATTTTGATCTTGGAAATTAAACGAAGCTTCAGGGAAATTAACATTCAAATTAGAAGAATCTATAGCTTTCTTAAGATTGTAATGCTGGTTATTGTATAAAGGAATGATTTTGGCTTCTAAAAATGTCTTATTAATGTTAAATTGAACTAACTTTGCAATAATGTAAGCAATAACTTGGTAAAGTGATAGGCATTCATCTAATAATGGTTTAGATGGTTTATCTCTAAAAGCTGCGATGATTAAGTCCATTGAATTTTGAAGAAGTCGAATAGCATCTAAACAGATAGGTGGGCTTCCTGGAGGAGGTGGGTTAGTTCTATTGGCTTTCGTAAATTCACCAAGACTGTAGTTTCCTTCGAATTGACCAAAAGTTTGAACGAATTGTTTCTTTGACTCCAGATAATCGTGAAGTCTTGGAGTCTGTGGTAATGCCGGAAGCGATTTCAGAAGTTTAGTAACACTTAATCCGCATCTTTGAGAAATTTGAAGTAGGAAAAAGCCGCAATCAGGATGTTTCTTTGAGAGATCAAATAACGTTGATGATAGATCTGTATCGCTGAGTTTAAATAGTAATTGAGCAAATGCTTCTTGATCTTTTTCGTATAAAAGAATGTTATCATCGTTTGACTTCTTTGAATCTTCTCCAAACAATAAATCAACTGCATCTTTAGCTTTTTGTTGAGTATTTTGTGGTTGTTGTGGCGCTCCAAAATCAATAAGCATATCAACTCTGGGAGCATTGAAATCTGGCTTAAATTCTGGCTTTTTCTCTGCAGGTTTAACTTCAGGCTGCGGCTTAACCTCTTCTGGCTGAGGTTCTGGCTTATCTTCGATGACTTCGATTACTGGTTTCTTAACTGTTTCTTGTTTTGGCTGTTCATTAGTCTTTGTTTCATAGCATATTTCAACATCTGATGTATCAAGATCTTCAATTATATCGGGGGGAATACTTAGCAAGATTTTCTCGTAGATATCCTCCATGAAATCTGAGCAAAATTTATTATAGGATTTATTAATACATTAATAAAATAATACATAAAAGCATTTTTCACTGATTTTCATTCATATTTAATGATATTCTAATCAAATTCTTGAGTTTGATGCTTAAATTACAGGAAATTTAGGAAATACAATGCTTGCAAAAGAGATATGAAGTAAATTATAAGGGCGGTCTCGTCGTTCAATCTTTCATATACCAAGTTACGAATGATGATCATAGATACTCTCACAAGAAGTTATTCTATGGTCATAAAATTACCACAGGCAAAAAATTCTTTATTGCCTCATGCGGATTGAGTTTGAGACTAATTTATTACCTAATTTTGTGCATTAACCATAGTAATCTTGCACAACAATCTATTTATCCACATCTAATATTATTACAATATGTACAATGCCATATTTAAATATCTAATATCCAATCGACTATATTTATTTTACAATTTCGAAATTTCACTTCATTAAAGCGCACATCTTTATGATGTATTCACCTCATTTCTCAAATTATTAAATTTGATTTCTATTAATGAAGAATATAATCACATTTATACATGTCATCAATAATCTCATACACATTTGTCTATTTTATAGTTAAAAGCCAGTCATTTTACATAGTTATTTGAAATCCATGAATTTGAAATCAATTTTCTAACACTCTGCCCGACTGTTTTGTATATTGTAATAAACAGAAATTCATCAAAAGTGACAGCTCTCAATTTTTTGACATTTGTAAATTCTAAATTGAATGAGAAAAATGAAATAATACTAAGCATAATACAATATTCTAGATTTAATTATAATTAGGAAAAAGTTAGTTTTGAGAGTACTTTTCATAGGCATATAGAATGAAATCTTCTGAAAAATAATATCACATAAACTCATATTATTTTCTAATATATAACTATTTTATATAAAAATCAAATTCAATGATCTTAAAAGCGAAGGATAAACCTCAAAATTTACGAATATAATGAGTGGGAATATAATGCTTATCTATCATAAAACCATATGAAATATCAATTTTTGCTTTACGCCTAATTTTTGACGACAATTAGCAAAAAATGTTAAATGTTAACACTCAGTCCATTTGAATATGAAAAATAAAATTGAATATGATAGGTGTCTTGGAAGATTTGCCTGGTGTCATCATAGTGTCTTTAAATCAAAAATTTTATTTTTGAGTTAGTTTTATTGATTTTTCAATAAAAAACATTTCGAAAACAAGAAAATAAAACGATAAAATATTTATATTTTATATAAGGATCTTATATATTTAAAATAAATATCATTTTATTTTTTTCATTGGTGTCTGTCAAACCATAATACACTATTCAAAAATTCAATGGGTCTTGCGGTTTCAAAAGACACCTTCAAATTGAACGATAGCACAGACACTATTGAATTTTACCCATTGTATTTAGTTTTTACCCTTTTTATTTTTAAGAATTAATGACTGAAACAGCCGTTTTGCTATGACCTCAATCACTTTTATTTATTATTTTAAATATTATTTAATTTTATTATTTGAATAGGCCAACTTATATTTGAGAAGCTCAATTTGAGACTACTTAATACATTGAAATATCATAAATATTGAAATATTAAAAAGTGTATTTCAAAATATTGAAATTATAAAAATTTATAATACTGAAATTGAGACAAATTAATAAATTCAATGTGTTTTTTTTTGAAATAACTCTCAAATATTATTTTTTTGTTTATTTAATGATGAATAAATATGATTGCTTTAGTCAATCATAAAAACTAATTTAAGTTTAAAATAATGAAAGGATAATTTGATCGTTTTTTAAAATACAATTATTTTTGATGATTTGCAAGAATCTTTGAAAAGAATATAATATAGGTTCTATTTTTGTAAAATTTATCCAAATCATGTATTACATAAATTACGATTAAAACGATGAAAGAACCAAAAAGTGTGTTTTGTTGTTGCGTGTTGGATGCGGGATCCTGTTATTTCCGAAATCGACAAAAAATTTGGAAATTTAATTTCCGAAATCGAAATTATATTAATGTTTTTAATATTCTTATATCAAAAGGATTAAAGTTCATTAAGAGAAAAACAATTCTTCTTCTTCAATCTATTGGCGCATTGATTTCTACACGCCAATAAGGAAGGGAAAATTATAAGACACCATGGTGTCTTCAAAACGCTAATTTTTGATATTTTTAACAACCCTAGTACCATATATCTGGCACTTGATATTTCAAGCATTCGCTCATGATCTCTGGATTTTCCCCTAAAAATGAAAGATGAAGACATGTTTGAGATTTATCAACTCGCCTAATACACCAACTCATGATCATATGTTCTTGTACCCATTGGGGGAAAAAATTTAAATATATTATTATTTTATTTAATTTTCATGCAATAACAGACAAAAACTTATTAATAATAACAGGAACTCCAGGAACATCAGGGTATTTCCATGGTAACTGCTTTATATACTCACCGAGATGTCTTTTTGCGCAGAAAACTAAGACATTTCGTTGATTACAAAGCTTACAAATCACATCTAAAAATGGTTTTGCAGTTTCGAACGGCACATCTTCCTTATAAACGAAGTTAAGTGCTGTAGCAATGAAATCTGCGTTGACACCAATATCTGCTTGTTCATAAACCGATACTAAGAAATCTCCAATAATTTTAGCTATTTGGAATTCGCATTTAGGAATAACTTTCATCAATGACAGCCACAATTCATCTCTTCCTAACGTGTAAACTTGTTTTCCTGAATAAGATGATGCAATTCTCACATTTTGTTGTACATTCTTCTGGAAATCAGTCAAAAGGGCTGTTGTCAACTCATTGACTTCGAATTCATTCGATTGTTGACACATTCTTATGATTGGATCTTCATAAATCGAATCCTTTGTTTGTTTGAAGACATCAATCAATTTTTGCCAAACATTATTTACAATTTCTGAATCAGAATCAGCTTGAACATTCATAATGACTGATATCGATGACGCTGTTGTTTCTGGGTAATCCAAACCAAACAAAACAGTTCTCCACACTTCATCAGATACATCGTGATCTTTGTAATAACCAGAAACAGCGCAAATAGAATATAAATGGATTTTCACGAAATCAGTGCATTTTCCAATCAAACACAAAATGATTAAATCCGCGGAATACTCAGATACTTGTTCCAATCTTATTGATTGCAATGCATTGAATATCTCCTCAAGACTCGTACATAACTGGCTCTCTTCTCCTTCGTAAAATGATGTAATTTGTGTACTCATCGAATTTGACATTTCATCTGAATCTTTGTCATCTGAAGTGATAAGTGAAGTGTTCAGAAGTTTTGACACTCCCTGCCAGTCAGTTCTTGCTCTTTTCGCCAGAGATGCCAAGTATATTGCGAGCAAAGGAGGAAGATTCGTCGCGTAAGGCATCAAATTATCCAATGGTCCGAAAACATTCAAAACAGCTCTGAACAACGATGTCAAAAAGTTCACGTCTTTCTGGGCGAATAAATCCATGACTGAAATGGGATTTAATTTCTCTTCATCTGAGTTCAAAATGATCTCAATGACATCGATAGAAAAGTGACTACTTGGCAAATTTGCAATTTTTGCCAATTGAGGCATTGGATCTTCGAATCTCTCTGCGAAGGATCTGACGCACTCCAAACTCAAGTCGGGAGAGTTTTTGGAGACTTCAAGACATCTGTCGAAGATTTGATCCCATGTAACGTATTTTTCAATGTCATCTTTTGTCAACAAAACCTTCAAAATGTCGCCAGCGATTGAGGAAACTTCCTCGCTCTTCGTCTGGTTGATAAGATTGAAGATGTCGTCGAGAAGTTGAAGGGAAATCGGTATCTCGCTCTGGAAAAGTTTCTGAAGGACGATAGGAGCGGTTGGATCGATAGGATTCATTGTATGGATTTTATCTATCAAAGATTTGTCTCTTGCCTCTATAACTTCCATTGCGTGGTTGAGAGCTGCTTGGTGCTGAGGCATTGTTTCGGAAATCCACTGTTTTAGTTGTTCGTAGTCCGTTCCTTCCAAAATTGCAGATCCATCTTCGAGTTTTTTGCGAATTACGGACATTTTAGGACGTTTTCTTGGGTTTTGGGACCAGCATTGTGTAATTAACTCGCAAAATGAATGGTTATCGTTTGGTAATTCTGGTCTGTATTTTTCTTTAAGGACTCTCATCGCGATTTGTACAGGGAACATCTGCATGTACTTGGCTGGACCCATTAACAAGTCGTATAAGAGAATACCAAAGGAATATGTGTCACATGAAGAATCATAACTGGTAAATGAGTTTCCCATGAGTTCTGGAGCCATGTAAGCAATTGTGCCAAGCTCGGCAGTCATCTTTGGTCCAAAAGAGCGGGAAAGACCAAAGTCACAAAGAACTGCGTGATCATTTTCGTCAATTAGAATATTTTGCGGCTTAATATCTCTGTGGAGTACGTGAACAAGATCTAGATACTCTAGACCACGAGTAATGCCAATTGCGATCTTCATTCTACGTAGTGGAGTCAAATCATCGGGATTATTTACAAGTAAATCGTAAAGAGAGCCGTGAGGAATGAATTTCGTAATGATTGAGAAAGGTGGAATGACTGTAACACCGTAAAACTTGATACAGTTTGGATGATTTAAGTTCATCAAACAATTTATTTCTCTCTTCAATGTAAAAAGCTTTCTTGGTGGCATATCGATTCTTGTGAGTTCTTTGATGGCTATGGTTTCGTTTGTAGCATTGAAAATGGCTTTGAAAACTTTTGCATAAGCTCCAGCGCCAATTTGCTCTTGTTTTGTAAATTCTGAGTGGTTAATGATGCCTTGTGACTCAGATGTCTTCGATTCAGCTGGAGGTCTAAGAATTTGATGAATTTTGTTTACGACAAAATTTAATTCATCAGTAATTTTAGATTGCTTCGGTTGCTTGGATAAATAAGAGGTAATTGACTGTTCTAGCATGATTAAGTCGAGGTTATGAGCATGCTGAAGCTTATCTATGTCAATAAATGAAGTATTTTCTAAAAAAGCTGCTGAAGTTGAAAAGGATGTATATATTTGAGCTAATTCTGTGTATTGCGTTGAGAGTGGTTTAAATAAAATGTGTTTTATCCAATTTGGATTTTGATATTTGAGAATTAAAGCAAGAAAAGCTGATCCTGTCTTAACAAACTCAAGAAGGAACGGAACTTCTGTGATTGTAAGGAGGTTTTTCGATTTCGCAATCATTCCTTTGTAACATTTTTCCATTTCTTCGCGAATAACAAGGAATTTATTAATACCATAAGAAGATTCATCCATGGCAGTTTCAATAGAGGATTCTAAATATTTAAAATATTCCTTCCACTCCGGCATGTTAAGAGGGAGGGAAGTACCACTCATTTATATTTTAAATTGTAAAAAAATAATCGAATTTTTGCCATTCCGGTAAAACTAATTAACACCATGAATAGTTTTTAGATATCTATTTTGAAAATATTCAATTAATATACGGAAAAATTATTGGACGAGAAAATAAATAAGGAATTTTGTTATTATCAGTGGTATGATATTTTCACCTACGAACAAATATTTATTTTATCAGGGATGAAGGTCGGAAAAGCGAAATTACTTTTCGGGGGGTTTTTATCAAGAATAACAAAATATATACAGCTAGATGATGGCAGATACAAATGATAGAAAGCAGCACCTCAGGAGCATATAGAGATTACTGAGCAGATTTTTTTTCCTATCATTTTATCAAGCTAATAAATATGCCAATGGAGTATAAAAATAAGAGCGTAATCCCCAATTTGAATAAGTTAATGAGGCAAAACATTAATTTAATTAATAATTTTGAAAATTTTCATCCCACTATCATATTCATAGGCATAAATCAAGGATTGAATGGAAACTACAAATTTTATGCCTTTGTATGACTCGAAACAAATATATTTACCCCATCAATTTGTTTTGTATTAATTATTTGCCGGAATTTCAATTTATCCAACAAGAATCTATCAAATTCACGAATGTTGTCTATTTGTAAGCTTTACTTTTGGGATCTATGGTTATATCATCAGTGATAGTTCAACCATAATATTTCGTGGCCTTAAATGAGGATCTGAATGGAAAATTACTCCTCATTAAGAATTTTGATGAAATATTTAGTGAAACAATAATATGTCAGTAAAATTTATCATCCTGCGATCGATTTTATGAGTTGAATTAAAAGAAGTGATTGAGATATCTATAAATCCCAAAGTCCCTTTTATCGAAGTAGTTTGGAAGCATTTTTATTGTCTGAAATTTTTTACGAAATGTGATTTCTGTTTAAATGCGAAATTAGGTCATAAAATATTACATGTAAAGAATATCTATGCATTTGCATTCAGTCTGAACGATATATCCAAATTTTTTATAGAAATTTGGTGAATCAAAAGAAAATGTTTCATAGGAATCGAAAATATACATATATAATCATTTATTAAAAATTCACTCGTTCTCCAAGCATATGATTTGACTGAATGGTCGGGCAGTCAATAACAAAATTTTCAATTAATAGGGATGCGACGGTTTTACGCCATGACCGTTTAAAAATAGAATAATACGCCATTTTTGGGGCCGAATGGCGGCTACTTCGTACCCGCCATTCGGCCGAATAACAAAACAATACAAAATTATCGCCGTCCTTTTTTTTTCTTTCTTTCTCTTTTTTTTTCTTTCTCTCTCTTTCTTTTCTCTTTCCTCTTTTTACTCCTCTTTCTCTTTTCATCATTAAACGTAGAAAGAAAGTATAATAAGTAATTATTTAGTTATCGATATATATATGTAAAGTGATAATCTGAGGATAATCTGAGGAGGAGTCTGAGGATTAGACCGAGGGGTAGTTTGAGGAGTTTGATGATAATCTGAGGACTTTGAGGATTAGACCGAGGAGTAGTTTGAGGAGTTTGATGATAATCTGAGGAGTTTGAGGAGTAGTCTGAGGAGTAGTTTGAGGAGTTTGATGATAATCTGAGGAGTTTGAGGAGTAGTTTGAGGAGTAGTCTGAGGAGTTTGAGGATAATCTGAAGAGTTTGAGGATAATCTGAGGAGTTGTCTGAGGAGTAGTTTCAGGAGTTGTCTGAGGATAATTTGAGGAGTTTGAGGAGTAGTCTGAGGAGTTTGAGGATAATCTGAGGAGTTTGAGGAGTAGTCTGAGGAGTTTGAGGAGTAGTCTGAGGAGTTTGAGGATAATCTGAGGAGGAGTCTGAGGATTAGACTGAGGAGTTTGAGGAGGAGTCTGAGGATAATCTGAGGAGTTTGAGGATAATCTGATCATAATCTGAGGAGGAGTCTGAGGATTAGACCGAGAAGTAGTTTGAGGATAATCTGAGGAGGAGTCTGAGGATTAGACTGAGGAGTAGTTTGAGGATAATCTGAGGAGTAGTTTCAGGAGTAGTCTGAGGAGTAGTTTCAGGAGTAGTCTGAGGAGTAGTTTCAGGAGTAGTCTGAGGACTAGTCTCAGGACTAGTTTGATGAGGAGGGGTCTAATGAGTAGTCTGAAGAGTAGTCTCAGGAGGAAGATCTGAGGAGGAGTCTTATGAGGAAGATCTGAGGACTAGTCTGATGAGGAGGACTCTAAGGAGTAGTCTGAAGAGTAGTCTCAGGAGGAAGATCTGAGGAGGAGTCTTATGAGGAAGATCTGAGGAGTAGTCTGATGAGGAGGGGTCTAAGGAGTAGTCTGAGGATGATCTGAGGATAACCTGATGACTAGTCTAGGAGTGGTCTAATAAAAATGTAAAATATTTTCAAAGAAAAAAATCTATGAATTTTATATTTTAATTCTTAGCATTATACTGAATAAAATAAACATAAATATCAAAATTTGAAATTGAACACGCCAAAAAATTGATAATCCACATTCAATATTTTGTAAGTGGCGTACTTTTTGAATACTCGCCATACGCCTTGGAGTTCTCAATTTTGAATTCGCCTTTATTTGGGCGACCTCAGAAAAATACGCTATTAAGAAAATATTGTATGAAATTTTAAATTTGAACACGCTCTACCTTAAGGAATTAAATTTATTAAGATATATTTATATATTAAACGATTACTTAAAAAAAGTATTTCATCGCTTATGTAAGTTTCAAAAAAATCACGAAAATAAAAAAATCAAGATTAAAATTTTATTTTTAATTTTTGAATTTCTCAAATGGCGAAATTTTTGGGCGAACAAAAAAAAATGTACGCCCGGTCAAATGGCGTGTTTAACGCATCCCTACAATTAACTCTACAAAACGTATTCAAAGAATAATAATAGAAATTCGGTGAAAAATATTCAGCATCTATATTTGAATCAGAATACTCGAGATAATGGATTTCTCCAACAACTTTTTGAATAGTGAATTAATCTTCAATTTCAAAACGATGGCTCTATTTGAATACTTTTTTCAAATTAATGTATCAAGACCCAGCTTTACCCCCACCAAAACTCCAAGGCACCGACCCTTTCCTCATCAGGCTTTCTTACCAGGACCAAATGGAATACATGCGTCTTGTTCAGTATTTCCAATATTCAGATGATAGGAATAAGCGCAACCTTGGTCTTTCAACATTTGCCAAACACATCTCATTGATCCATAGATTCATTTACAAGGGCGATTCTTACGATACCTACAGAGGTTTACTTTGCGGTATCGAATTCGGAATCGATTCGTTGCTCATCAATACATCAAGACTGAAGCACTTAATGTGCCGCTCAAAGTCTTGCATGAATGGCTGCTTCCAGAAGCTGGGATATGCCATCTCGAGACCAATCCAAGATTTCCAAACTATTTTCTCTCAGATCGGTTCGAATTTCGATAACGCTTTTATCAACCCAAGACAATGGTGCGTAAGAAGACTCGTAGATCCTACAAACGCCATGTCAAATTTCCCTGCAATATTGAGCATTCAGTTTGCAGAGGATAATACCAAGCATTCTGACTCCGAATGCCCACCTGTTCAAGACAGGCCAAACTCCCTTCCAGCAATTTGGGACGTTTCCAATTTGCTGAATCGCAAACCATTACCAGGCCTATCCCTTGGATGTGGCCCGATGATGTTTTGAATAGTTTATTATATGCTCAATTTTTATTTAATTTTTGAGCCAGTTCATATTTAATCTAAAGATTTACGTATTTTTATTATATTTATAACATTTTTTATTCCAGTGTTCTAAAAGTAAACAAGATTTACTATCAGAATGGTACTAAACAGGGAAAAATATAAGATATACTATGCAGAGAAATTGGTAACTATGAAACGCTGCCAACTATAGCACACAAGTGTCAAAACATCTTCCTCATAAAAATGCCATTTCTAGAATCGATTATCAGAAGCATAAGCTTCTATCCTAGCTCAATAAATGCAATACCGAAAATTTCTGCGAAAGAAAAGAGGATGTTTTATTGTCTTCTGGAAAAGTGACAAAATTCGAATTGCTGTCAAAAACCACCAAACAACAATAATAATTCCCCAAAGAAAATGCTTCAATAGTTTATATGTTTTTAGAAGGATTTAAATTTGAATAATATTAACAATATACACTTTATTCTATATATACAAGAGTTACTTCTGTCTTTCTCTCTACGTAGCCTTGAGAAATTGCCAGGGCTAAATTCTTTGAGAAGTCGCTTCTAGTTAATGGGAATTTTTGAGACAATTCAATATAAACTCTATTCCAAAGATCCTTTTCAAACATTGTCTTTTCATGTTTCATTATTCTACAGATTGCAGCATTTATAATTCTATCTCTATCAACGAATAGTTTCTTTGATTCTTCGTCTTCGTATTCCTTAGGAATTGGCAGATGAATTATATTTGATGCAGGAGTAAAATCTGTTTTAAGGAAGTACATTTCTCCTGCTTTTCTCAATAGTTCGCATGATTGATCAGTCAATGAGTCAATTGCAGTGAAAGAAAGTGCAGCAGGTATTTCAGGATTAAACATTGAAGAAGTAATAAACTGATTACTATTAAAAGCAAGCAAAATCTCTATTTGTGGTCCTGTTCCACTCAAAAGACATTTCTTGCCTTCATATCTAACAGTTATGTACCAATAATTCGTTGGAAAAGTGATGGTATTCTGTGGAAACATCTGCTTATACCTTATTTCTATTGGATCAGTGATTGCTCTGAGAAATTTCGGTTTCGAATAAGCAGATTTAAATGGCCAATGAGTAGTAGAAAGAATAAGGACATTGGGGAATCCCATTTCATCTGATTTCATCTTTCCATCAATTATTTGGGTAATTAAAGAGATTGTTTGGCTAAATACAAGAGATGAGTTCGCAATTACGGATTTTGCAGCCATTTCTGCAGGTAATTGCTTAGTTCCATTAATAAGGAACCTTTGTACGCATAATCCTGCATAATCAAATACAAAATCATCCTTTGAATACATGTATTTTAAAATTCCACTATAATCAGCGATACTTCCACCTTGGAATAGTATTTGATGGAATTCCATATTAAGTTTATTGATCAATTCTTTCGTATCAACGTTCACATACATAGAAATTGCTTCAATTAAACTATTATCTCCAACAAAAATGGTATTTAACAATAAATCATAGAAATTAACAACTTCACACATATTACTAAACTCCTGCGGTTCATTAACTATCATTTTACCAACAATTTCTGCAATTTTTGGTTTTAATTGACATTTTTTGTTGAAAATTCCACATAATTCTTCAATTGTGTCTTTATCACGTGCCAAACAAAACATAGATACTGATCTAAGTATCTCGTGAGTGTACATTCTGCCTAAATCTAAGAAAAATTCAGTTGCAAAATTTATTGTTTCATTTCCTGTTTCCGGATCAATTGATCTACTTATCGCTATATCTAAAATCTTCAATATATTGTAACATGCATCAGGATATGCTTTCACTGTAGCCATTAATTGGTCATCTAAATCATCTTGGTTTTCTGCTAATTCTTCATCAAGAGATTCCGTATTTTCGTCAAGATTAGTAGGTAATCCTTGTGTTTCGATCCATTCCAGAAGGAATTTTGGTAAATTTTCTCTGATTTCAAATTTTATTATTTCAATTTGAGAAGAAGCGATCAATTTCAGCATACTTTTGAGTTTGTAAATAATATTAAGACGTTCATCATTCTCTATATCGTTAACAGTAGTTGTTTTAACGATATTAAAGATATGATCAACGTAGCACTTTGCAAAATTGTTCATAATCTTTTCCTTTTTGAGAGTATCGATGAGTGTACCAAGATTATCTTGGAAAAATTGAATTTTACAGTTGTATTGATTTAATTGAGTTTCAAATGGAGAAAAAATTGCCGTAGTGTGACGCATGAAATAAGAATAGGAATCGTATATTGATGAAAGAAATTCAAGATATGAAACTACTGTTTCTGATTCTGGCTTTTTTGCTTCAAGATAAATGTTTGTGACTGTTTCTCTAATCATATCATTAACTTTGTTCATGTAGTCAATGACATCTCCGCACGAAAGTATTGAATAAAACGATTTTGCCAAGATCATAAAATTTATTTCTTTTGTTCGATGCTTAATAATCATGTTTAATGCTTCCGAAACATTTTTTGTACATTCACTGATATCATCATAGTTAAATTTTAATTGGCTTGATAGTTTGTACCTTTGTTTTTGAGTCATAAAGTTAAAAAAAATAAAAGTAGACAAAATCATTATTATTTTCCAAAATGAGTCACACTAGTATATTAAAAATGATATAGACTTATAAACATTGACCCACATGATACATCAACGTTAATTTATTGGATGGTATAAGATTCCTCATGTAAAGATACTACCCATTAGCATAATATGTATTGCGTATGAACCACATAGTTATATAGTGTACAGATGTACAAAAATATTGTTAGAAAACTTCAAGAAAATTTGAAAACATTATTTGACTTTATCAAAATTATTACAAATATGTATACACTTTATCAGAGAAATAATCTCGTATCAATTTTTGGTCACCTAACTTTGACTTCACATTTCATAATGAACAAGGATATTAAAGAGTTCATTAAAGATAGCGCCGAAGTTCTGAATTCTCTATACCTGCTCAAGATCAGTAGTGATGACGAAATCAACGCTTTTTTCCAAAAGATCAAATCAGTTCTTATTGATACTGAAGAGTACTCTCCAGAAAGAATGATTGAAATTATCAGCAAATGTGCAAAACATCGTAATCGTTACTTCAAATCATATATAAAGCTTAGCAAAAAGATTTATGATGAATATCATCCAAAACAAGTTGAACGTGTTAATTCCTTGTTTGATTATATTTTTTTACAAAGAATACGGGTTTGTTTTACGTGAAGATACGAAAAATTGTTTCGATATTTTCGAATCTAAAGGTTATTCAATTGAAATTCATGATAAATATTCATCTTATGGAGCAATTATGAACAATGGTGATAAATTACTCTCATCAATCTTTGTACAAGACGGTTTCGATAAAAATCAAAAACTCAGCAGTAAATTTTATCCAAGACATAATATTTCATTTCTTGAAGTATGCTGTTACCATGGAGCAGTTGATTGTTTCAAACTTTTAAGATCAGAATTCAAAGCGGAAGTTTCAGAAACATGTATTGAATTATCATTTTTAGGAGGAAGTCAGGAGATCATGATGGAATGTTTGAAAGTTTTTACCGAGGATGATAAAAAGAAGCTTTCCCAGGATTTCATGCAATATGCCATTATTTCCCATAACATTGATTTTATTTCATATTTGATCAATGAATATGGAATGTATATCGATATACCAGCTTGCTATGATAATAACAATATTCAAGCATTTATAGTGCATTTAGATTACATTACCGATATCAATGATTGCCTTTATCCATCAATTTTGTTTGATAACCCATTTGTTTGCGAATATATGATTCATTTGGGTGCTGATATCCAAGTAAATATAGACCCATTTGGATCACCGCTCCAATATGCATTAAATAAAGGTTGTTATGCTTCAGCAAAATACCTCATTTCAAAAGGTTCTGATATTGAAGTAGTTGATGATAAAGGAAGAACATATCTCATTATTGCATCTGTTAATAATTACCAAGAAAGAGTTCGAGGTGCTGTTTTATGTGGTGCAAATATAAATAAAAAGGATTTAAGTGGAAAAACTGCACTCCATTATTCAGTTGATGTAAGGAATGAAAAAACTGTTGAATTCCTTATTTCACACGGTGCTGATGTCAATGCAAGGGACAATTCGGACATTACACCTCTTAGTATTGCGAAGACTCTTGGAGAAACAAAAATTGAACAAATTCTTCTTTCACATGATGCAAAAATATAAATACGCTAAAAAATCTCATTTAAATCCAAGTAAAAATGATTTACATAAAATATCATCTTATTTTTGTTTTATTCTTTAGATAATGAATATCTTATATCATCATATATCAATATAAAATCACTAACATAAATGGACTTGTAGAAAAATGAGAATATCCTTATTTATTCAAATTCAAAATAATCAATCCAAAGAAAAAAAGCAATCATTCGAGAGATATTTTAAATATAATCTCAGTATTTAAGGAATCTAGTGATTTTGAGAGTGTTTACAAAACCTTTGAAGAACTTTCTGCTGGAGGTGATCGAGAAATGATGTCAAATACTTGTGAAGAATGATTTTGGGAAATGTAAAAAGAGCAAAAATATAATGTATTTCTTGATGCATGTAAAAAGGGAAATATTCATCTTATCAAATCACTTATTTTTGTATATTATTTTCATAAAAAATTACTGAATGTCATTAGGATAATTTCAAATTTAACGGATTTGATATAGATATCTGAATAAATCCCAAATTAACATCTAATGTAAATACTGACTTTATATTCGCAGTGTGTTTAGAAATATATCACGTAGATACTCCAAGTAATTCCATTTCCATCTTTAATTTCTAAAAATCATAATAAATATCTTAATGATGGTATTCATTTTCACCTTTGTGATCGATATGTACACTATAGTCTATAAAATTTAGACTTCGCATAAATAAACGGTCAACAAATTCCCGCCCAAAAACGTGACGCGCTCCAATCTATGAATTATTCATCTGTTTCATACGACGGGAAGAACCCACGGAGTGCCTCAAAATCATCATATTCTTCAGACATATTCAATCAAACTGAAAGTATTTCGCAGTATATTAAAAGCCATTATAATACTCGCAAAAATGATCCGGCGTTTAACTTATTACAAGAGTTTTTTGGAGTGTTTCATGATCAAATGCGAATTAACTTCGATTTGAGAAACGAACTTACACTAATACGCCGAAATCCAACGTATAACCAACAACAATTACAACAAAGAAAAGATAACATTGAAACATTTATGAAGTATTTTAACAAGGTCAAGCAATATCCTCACAAAGATTTACAAGAAGTTAAAATTACAATTGAAGATGATATCAAAATATTAACAGAAAAGAATAAATTGACCGAAGAAATGAAATCAAACACACAGACAAGGCAATCATTACAAACTGCGATCAATGATCTCGAAAAATCAATTGAAGCTCACGATAACGAATTCCAAAAAATAATGAAAACATTAAACAGTACAATAGCATCTTCATCATCCAAAGCTATTCAACTACAAAATTCGATCGACGACTTAACTCCTTGCATTAACTCATTAAAAATCAGAGTTGATGAAAAAGAAGCAAAAAAACAAGAACTTTTAAGTGTTTTGGATTCAAAAAGACAACAGCTATCAGAAATACGTAATATTAATGACCAATCGCATGAGAGAAGAAGTGAAATTAAAACGAAACTTCGTACAAAATTAGGAAAATTAACAGCCACTTACCATAGATTACTTGATGATGAGAAACCCTTGATAAAAGCTCTTGAAGATGTAGAAGCACAACTTTCTAAGATCAAAGATGAATCAAAAATCGAAATTGAAAAATATAATTCCGAAAGTACTGAGTTATTGACAACAATACAAGAGATTGATTCAAAAATAACCGAAGTAAAGTCAGTTCATACATCAAATCAGTCTTCTCGCAGTGATTTTCAGAGAACAATAAAATTAAATCATCAAATTCACGAAAACTCATTGACAGAACAGAAGAAACTCAGAACAAAAATAGATAAAATAAATATTTCTATAGAGAAACTCCTTCAAAACTCAAAAACAATTGAAGATGAAATCAAAATTACAAAAGATTCACGAGAAAATGTCTCAAATCAGATCAAACTCCGCACAGAACAAATAGAACAACTCCGCCAAGAAAATAACAGACTTGCTTCACTAATAAGAGTTCATCAAGAGAATATTCAAAATGAAGAATCTCAAAATCAGGCAATTAAATCAGAATTAACAACAATTCAGACAGAATTACATAGTTCTAGGGAAGAATGTGATATCCATACTGACAAAATAGAGTTAGTTCGTAAAACATTGTCTGCATTTTCTTCACTTCAAGATGCAATGCTTCTAAATGGAGTTATGAGTCCTCTGGGAGTTGCTTCAAGAGCTATAGAGTTTATTAGATTATCTAGACAGAAATTGGAAGATGACGAACCTCCAACACGAATCACTTCTCGAATGGTAAAGGAAGAAATCGAGGAGTTGAATCATTCAATATCAATTATTGATGAAAAGTTGAATAATTAACTAGTAGTAAATAATTTGTTTGTTTTTTTATACTTTTAATTATATATATTTTTATAGATATCTAATTAAGGATGCAATTACTTCATTCTGACAATCTCAAAATTTTCTTGACAACAGTTTTATTTACTATATTTTCAATGCAAAAATGAGTATTATCGTTTTCATCTTTTTATGGAATAAAACTGTTGTCTGAGATAGTAATAAGACCTTCGCCAAATGCAGCAGATTCAAGATTAATGCATGACTTGAAACACTCATATTCGATAGTGTTGCAAGAAATGGTAAGAGATGTCAGATTGCTCTCTTTGAATGCGTACTTGTCGATGCTTTTGAATGTTGGTTTAAGACCACATGATGAAATGCCGCTTCTGTAAAAGGCATACTGGCTGATGTTCACGAGATTAGTGCTGTCAATACCAATGTCACCGATAGAATAGCAGTTGCTGAATGCATACTGGCCGATGCAGACAACAGTTGATGGAAGGCGGATAGAGTTCAGAAGTACGCAGTCCTGGAAACAAAAGTCTGGGATAGTCGTGATCTGAGTGTTATCGAGAGAGACAGATGTGAGAAAAGAGCATTTGTTGAAACACGATTTGCCAAGAGATTTGAGACCTGATGGAAAAGAGATAGATTTGAGTTTTGAACCAGAAAAGCATGAATCACCAATAACAAGGTTTTCGTTGTCAGAGAAAATAAGTGTGTTGATACTCTTCTCTGCAAAGGTGAGACCACCAATGCTTGTGCATGAACTAGGAATAACAAGATCAACATTCTCTTCGGTGCCGAAGTAAAGATTGAGTGATTGCCTGTTGTTTGTGAACATCATGAAGTCCTTGATGAGGGTCGATGGATTTCGACTTGTGATATTGATGTTTTTTATTCCAGAGAATGCCATCTCTCCAATTGTGATTTCATTTTCTTTAAAACAACTGTATTCAACTTATAACAATTCATAAATGCTTTCGCACCAATAGATTGCAAACTGTTTGGTAATTCGATCTTGGCTAAATTTATACAATTTTGAAATGCAGAACTATCGATTGTAATGATAGACTCTGTAAGGGTAACAGATGTTAATGAAGCACAATAACCAAACATTCTATCTGTTACATGTTGTATTTGTCTTGGAAATACGAAATTGACAAGAAGGGTTTGATAAAATATTACAATACCTAATTTTTTAACGCTTTCAGGAATGATAACGTTAGTGAGTCTGGCTCTTTGGAACGCTCCACTTGATATTGTTGTCACAAATGATGGAATTTCAAAATCACCACTCACTGGAGCAATTAATAATGTGTCATTATTCTCACCTGTATAGATGACATTCTTATCAACTTTAAATTTTTGATTTTCTGGGTGAATATCAAAATGATCAATCGGACATCCTGTGAATGATGGTTCTAAATTACTCAAATTTTTAGGAATATAAAAATATGTTAACTTAGCCATATCAAAAAGACTATCTCCAATGCTGGTTAAGTGAGAATTTGGGGAAAGTATAAATTCAGCAATATTACTTGAAAACATATAACTATCTTCTCCCGACCACGAATCAACAATTTCTAGAGAATCAGGAATATTAACACTTGTGAGAGATGTGGTGTCATAAAAACAGCCACTCGAAAGTCGTTTAATGTTTGGTGGAAATATAACTTTATTCAATGATTTGCATCCAGAAAACAGAGAATTAGATAATGTCAGAAGATTATCACAATTCGAAAAATCTGCACTCGTCAATGATGACTTGGCAAAAACCCAACTGCCAATGTTCTCGATGAGACTCCAGCTCTCGAATCGGAGTGTCTTGATGTTCTGGCGACATGGGAAGAAAGAACTATCATCGGCTTTGCTACCACCAAGAATGTTGACAACACTTCGCTTGATAACAACATCACCTGAAACTGTGCTCGGAACGCGTCGGATGATCTTGAACTCATCTGAATCGTACTCAATACCTGTTGAAGGATCTTCATAGATAAATAAACTAAAAACAAAAAACAAACCTTATTTCAATTAATGCATGATAAATATGTGAATTTTTATTATCGACATATATTTTCATCCTTCTGAAAAATGTTCTAATGGCATATTCACCTATAATTGTCATTTCATAAAAAGTGGATTAAATTTTTTCAGAAGTAACCTTAAAATATAAAATTAGGTTCCAATATTATCTTTCAAGCATGTAAGGTTTTATTGTGTGTTAATATTGGTTATCTTAATCAAGCTAAACTGCATAGTAAATGTAAATTTGAAATATTTGAACTCAAAATCTTCCAAATTAATAAACATCTTCTTTTCATTAATAAAAAACGATATTATTATAATTTCAAAATATTCAATGTTTAACTACAATAATAATCCATAAAAAATATATTTAACAATAGAGTTTATCTGTGTTTCGTAAGCATGTCTTCAAGTAATTTGGCGTATTGTTCTAGATCGGATTTCTCTTCTTGTTTCTTCATTAATTCTTCTTCCGATGCTCTAAGTTGCTGAAGTGCGGTTTCTCTCTTTTGTGCATTCGCAACTGAGTATGCTTCAATCTGCTGCAGCTGTTCTGGAGAGTCTTTAAGAATCTGCCACTTCTTAGCTCTTCGCTCGTATGCAGATTTCTGCAATTTAAGTTCTCGGAAACTCTTCATTTCTTCTAAATCTTGCATCTCTGACAATTCTTTCCTCTTCTTCAAGACTTCGGAGTTCTTCTCGTTGACTTGTGCTTGTGTCTGGTCAAGCAATATCTTAGAGTTCTTGACATCATCAAGCAATGTTCTGATTTCCGGACGGACACGAGCTGAAAGATCAGCAAGTTGTTTCTCGATTCTCACTTGATATTGTTGCATATCTTTGATGTGATTCTGTCTGATAGAGATTTCTTTCTGCAATCGGTCGTAATCTGCTTTCTTTTCATTGTATCTTCTGTTGACTTCTTGCAGTTCGAGTGATCTTTGATTAGTGATTTCGACTTCTTTCTTGTTGTTTTCTTCGTATTTCTCAATCTCGCCGGCCAATGATTGCAACTCGGATTGAAGTTTTCGGATGTTTTCTTCTTTCTGAAGTTTGACATCGGCTGCTTCTCTGATCTGAGCATCAACATCTTGCATCTGTTTACGAACATTTTCAATTTCTTCTTGTTGTCTTCGCAGACCTTCCAACTCTGCAATTTGTCGCTGAAGTTGTTTATCATCGTTGTCAATGTCTGTGCCTCGGACATCTGTAACCATAGACAAATCTCGTCTGTTGTTGTCGACATTCTTCTTGACTTGGGAAACTGCTTTCCCTGGATCGATGGAGACTGAGTTAGTTCGACTGAATGAGAGAACTGGTTTTGGTTTCTTCTTCGCAGGAGCTTGTAATTTAGCAACTTGGTTTCTTAAGTCGTTAGATTTCTTGACTTTTGCTTTGATCTGCTTTTGAAGTTCTTCGTGTCTTGCTTTCAAACTTTCTTCACTCTCGTCACCTGCTTGCTTTCTCAATTGTGGAATTAATTCGGCCAATGGATTTCTCCGTCTAAGATTGGCAGCAATTTCTGTTTCACTGACATCAAATGCGTCGTTAGTATCATCTTTAGATGCGGAGAAAACTGGATCTGATGTTCCTAATGGTGTTGATGGACTTTGGACTGCATGGCTCTTCCTCCTCTTCTTAGGAGTGACTGTTGGACTTTCATTTCCTCCTTTTGTCGGTGTCTCGTTCAACAATAATTGATGTGCGAGTTCGTCATCCGAAACAAATTCGTAATCATAATCAAAATCATATTCGTTTGCATTAGGATCATCAACATATAAAACACGAACTCGCCTTCGTTTCCTGTTCTTCTTCTTTGGTGTTTCGAATGGTTTGTTATTCAAATCTTCTTTTGTTAATGGTTGGCCATCAACTTTAGATAAGATTTGTTTTCCATTCTTGTCTTGTAACAATTGTTTTCCTTTCTTGTCGAAAACTGGTTTTCCTGTTTTGTCGGTCATCAATTTGACATCTCTTTCCAAGATCGGTTTGTTGTCTTTGTCTGTGATTGGTTTTCCATCTTTATCATTAAGTTTCCTCAAATTACGTTCTGTAACTGGTTTTCCATCCTTGCAATTGATTGGTTTTCCGTTCAATCCGTAGACTTGGCTGCCTTCCGAAAGCATTGGACGTCCTCTTGTGTCTGTCATTGGTTTCAAGTCTGTTTCGAGGATTGGCTTGCCATTCTTGTCGTAAATGATGGAGCCATCTTTATCAAGTAATGGTTTTCCTTTGTTTTCTGTCAAAAGTTTGCCATCTTTGTCGTAAATAGGTTTAGAATTGATGGCTAAAATTGGTTTGCCATCTCTTTCGGTCAATGGTGTTCCGTTTTTGTCTAAAACTGCTTTTCCATTCTTGTCTAAAACAACTTTATCTTCTGGTTTCTTGTTGTCTTGTTCATCATCTTCGCTGTATGAGATATAATCATATTCATGTGGTTCGCCATCTGAGAAATCGTATTCATATTCATGATCTGGTTCTCCTGGTTTAGCATTCTCTTTTGGAACTCGGATTTTAACTCGGTGATGTCCTTTTTCATCAACAATGTTGTTGAGTTCGTTGAATGATGGATCTCCTGTGTTGTTCTGGCTTTTATCTTTCCTTCGACGACGTCTGGCGGTATCTTTTTGATCTGGCTCTTTTTCTTGGACATTGTTGTTGTTTTCTTTTTGTCTTCTTGCTGTTTCTGAATCTTTTGATTCTTGTTTGGAAGGATCTCCTTGATTTTCTTCTTCTTTTGCATTTGATGATCTTGCATGACGTCTTCTCCTTCTTCTCGAATCATTCTTTGGTTCTTCTGGATTTGCATTGTTCTTCTCTTCATCTTCTTTGTTTTCATTTGCATTGTTTTTATCTTCATTGTTTAAGTTTCCAAGTTTGTCACGAATATTGAGATCGTTTTCATTATTTCCTTTGTTGTTTTCTTGGTTTTCAGCGTTTTCTACATTTTCTGGTTTAGAATCTTTGTCTTTGACAAGAACTGCAGAAATTGTTCCACCAATACCAAGATTTGATTTATCTTTATCACTTTCTTTATCTTTCGATGATTCTCCATCTTTCTTGCCTTCGTTGTTTTCAGCATTCACTTTGTTAGCTTCATCTTCTTTGTTTTCTTTATCTTTGACAAGATCAGCTTTAACTGCATCACGAAGATTAAGTTTGTCATCTGTTTGTTTGCCATCTTTGGATTTATCTGCAGCTGATGACTTCTCTTTGTCTTGTTCTTTATCATTCAATTTGTCTTTGTCAGCAGCTAAATCTTTAGATGAGCCAGAAACTTTGTCTTTATCTTGTTTTTGTTCTGAATCTTTCTTGTTTTCGGATTCTTTGTCTTTTTCATTTTCATTATCTTTGTCTTTGATGAGACCGCCTGCGATGACTGAACCAAGTCCTAATTTACCTGTTTCTGATTTATCGCCATCAACGTTTTCTGACTTAGAATCTTCGCCTTCTTTCTTATCTCTTGAATTTTCTTTATCTTTGTTTGATTCTGAAAGTTTATCTTTGCATTTGTCAGATGATTTACCTTCTTTATCTTGTTTAGATGCTTTAGCAGCTTCTGATTTATCTTTGTTTTCGTTGTCGTTCTTATCATCAGTTGACTTATCTTTGATAATGCCTTGTCCAAGGGCACCAGAAAGATTAAGTTTAGTTTCCTCATCTGTCTTCTTTTCTTTATCTTTTTCTTTATATTTATCTGCTGATTTATCATTATTTGCATCTTCGTTATTTTCGACACTTTTGAGATCTTTAGATGATTTCTGTGATTGATCTTTGTCTCCTTTAGATTCTGCTTTTTCACCTTCTTTTCCTTCTTTTGAATCTTTTCCATCTTTTCCAGTGAGCTTGTCTGAAATAGAATCTTTGATGCCAAGTGTTCCCTTTTCATCTTTGTTCTTATCTTGTTCTTCTTTATCTTTATTAGAATCAGTAGATTTTGATCCATCAGCATTTCCTGATTTAGATTGATCGTTGTCTTTATCTCCAGATTTAGATTGTTCTGCTAAATCTTTAGATGATTTATTTGCTGCTTTGTCATCTTTATCTTTATCTTTATCTTTATCTTTATCTTTATCTTTATCTTTATCTTGATTATCAACTGCACCAATAACAATACCTTTCATGTCTAATTTAGATGAATCTTGATCTTGCTTATCTTGCTTTTCTTGATTGACTTTGTCATCTTTAGATTGTTGTTTATCATCATCTTTATCATTGTTGTTGTTGTTATTGCCAACATTGTTATTGTCTCCTGGTTTGTCTTCTGCTTGAGATTTAGTTGATGTTTCTTTTTCGTTGTTTTGATCTTTGACAAGTCCGGAACCAATTGCTGAAAGTGGATTAATTGTATCTTTATCCTTATCTTTATCTTTTCCTTCTGATTTACCATCTTTTTCTTGATCTTTCTTCTGAGATCCATCCTTTTCTGCATCTTTATCTTTTGAATCATTTTCATTATTTAATTTGTTCTTTTCATCTTCGGCAGATTTTTGTTCAGATTTATCTTTATCTTTTTCGCCATCTTTAGAAACAAGCTTTCCACCAATGATATCTTTAAGTGAAGCATTTTCTTTTTCATCTTTATTTTCTTCATCATCTTTTTGTTTATCATTGGATTTTTCATCTGCTTTTCCTTTTTCTTCCTTGTTTTCATTATCTTTCTTTGATTCATTTCCATCTTTAACAAGTGCAGCAACTGCTCCAAGAACTGCGAGTTTTTCAGCATCTTTAGTTTTATCTTCTTCTTTATTCAAATCTTTCGAAGACTTGTTTGCATCTTCTTTATTGAGATCCTTTGATGATTTATTTGTTTTTTCATCTTCTTTACCAATATCTTTAGAAGATTTATTGGCATCATCTTTGGAAGATTTGTCTGCTTCTTCTTTATTGAGATCCTTTGATGACTTGTTTGCTTCATCTTTGTTTTGGTCTTTAACTAAACCTTCTCCGAGAGCTCCTTTGATGCTTAAGTTTTCTTTCTTTTCATCATCATCTTTATTGATATCTTTAGAAGACTTATTTGCTTTTTCATCATCTTTTCCTATGTCTTTAGATGATTTATTAGCTTTATCTTCATCTTTATTAAGATCCTTTGAAGATTTGTTTGCTTCTTCTTTGTTTTGATCTTTTGATTTTTCATCTTCTTTAGAAAGATCTTTTGATGATTTAGTTGCATCATCCTTGTTCTGATCTTTGATTAAACCTTGTCCAATAGCTCCTTTGAGACTTAAATCATCCTTCTTTTCATCTTCTTTGTTTTCACCAGATTTGGCGATGTCTTTTGATGATTTGTTTGCAGCATCTTTAGATTCATCTGCTTTAGATAAATCTTTGTTAGATTTGTTTGCTTTTTCATCTTCTGCTTTTGATGACTTATTTTCTTCATCTTTGTCTGTTGCAACAAGTCCTTTTCTATGTGCATCTTTGATTCCAAGTTTTGTATCTTCTTTATCTTTGTTTTCATCAGATTTAGCAAGATCTTTTGATGATTTGTTTGCTTCATCTTTCTTTCCATCTTTTGATTCTTTTTCTTTATCTGCAAGTGCTGAATCAACTGAGTCTTTAAGTCCAAACTTTGTCTTGTCTTCATCTTTAGATTTATCTTTTGATGCTTCTCCTTCTTTTTCATCTTTATTAGCTTTGTCATCTTCTTTTGTATTATCTTTACCTTTGTTAGCTTCATCTTCTTTGTTTTCTTTATCTTTGACAAGATCAGCTTTAACTGCATCACGAAGATTAAGTTTGTCATCTGTTTGTTTGCCATCTTTGGATTTATCTGCAGCTGATGACTTCTCTTTGTCTTGTTCTTTATCATTCAATTTGTCTTTGTCAGCAGCTAAATCTTTAGATGAGCCAGAAACTTTGTCTTTATCTTGTTTTTGTTCTGAATCTTTCTTGTTTTCGGATTCTTTGTCTTTTTCATTTTCATTATCTTTGTCTTTGATGAGACCGCCTGCGATGACTGAACCAAGTCCTAATTTACCTGTTTCTGATTTATCGCCATCAACGTTTTCTGACTTAGAATCTTCGCCTTCTTTCTTATCTCTTGAATTTTCTTTATCTTTGTTTGATTCTGAAAGTTTATCTTTGCATTTGTCAGATGATTTACCTTCTTTATCTTGTTTAGATGCTTTAGCAGCTTCTGATTTATCTTTGTTTTCGTTGTCGTTCTTATCATCAGTTGACTTATCTTTGATAATGCCTTGTCCAAGGGCACCAGAAAGATTAAGTTTAGTTTCCTCATCTGTCTTCTTTTCTTTATCTTTTTCTTTATATTTATCTGCTGATTTATCATTATTTGCATCTTCGTTATTTTCGACACCTTTGAGATCTTTAGATGATTTCTGTGATTGATCTTTGTCTCCTTTAGATTCTGCTTTTTCACCTTCTTTTCCTTCTTTTGAATCTTTTCCATCTTTTCCAGTGAGCTTGTCTGAAATAGAATCTTTGATGCCAAGTGTTCCCTTTTCATCTTTGTTCTTATCTTGTTCTTCTTTATCTTTATTAGAATCAGTAGATTTTGATCCATCAGCATTTCCTGATTTAGATTGATCGTTGTCTTTATCTCCAGATTTAGATTGTTCTGCTAAATCTTTAGATGATTTATTTGCTGCTTTGTCATCTTTAGATTTATCTTTGTCTTTGTCTTTATCTTCTTTGTTTTCTTCTTTATCTTTATCTTTATCTTGATTATCAACTGCACCAATAACAATACCTTTCATGTCTAATTTAGATGAATCTTGATCTTGCTTATCTTGCTTTTCTTGATTGACTTTGTCATCTTTAGATTGTTGTTTATCATCATCTTTATCATTGTTGTTGTTGTTATTGCCAACATTGTTATTGTCTCCTGGTTTGTCTTCTGCTTGAGATTTAGTTGATGTTTCTTTTTCGTTGTTTTGATCTTTGACAAGTCCGGAACCAATTGCTGAAAGTGGATTAATTGTATCTTTATCCTTATCTTTATCTTTTCCTTCTGATTTACCATCTTTTTCTTGATCTTTCTTCTGAGATCCATCCTTTTCTGCATCTTTCGATGAAATTTCTTCCTTATTTTGATCTTTTTTGTCTGAATTAAGATGATCATCTTTGTTGTTTTTATCGGGTTTATCAGCTCCATGAGCGAGAGTTGCTCCTAATATAGCAGAAAGTCCTCCTGGAATCTCCTTTTGTGATTCTCTTGCCTTATCGTCATCATTATTATTTGATTCCAATTGTTTAGAGGAAGCAGTAGCTGATTTCTCTTTCTGCTGATTGTCTAACTTATTATCAGCCTTATCTTGGTCTGGTTCTTCAATTCTTGTTGGTTCATTATTTTTATTCTCATCATTCTTTTGAGAATTCGAAGGTTTGAGGGAAGGAAGCCTTGACTTACTTGATGTAGCACTTGTTTTCTTCTGAACATCAGACTTTTGCTGGTCTTGTGGTGTTTTTTCTTCAGATTTCAAATCTTTTTGATCCTGATTTTGTTGTTGATCAGTTGGATTTGCTTTATTCTTTCCTTGGTCGATCATCTCTGCTTCTGGAGATATTGTTTTGAAGATTTGTTTGATGATATTAATTCCATCTTCTTGTTGTGCTGGAGTTAATGATTCCTGACGACTGCTTTGGTTTCTTGATGTTGATTTATGACGTCCTCCTGTTGGGGTTCCTTCTGGCATTTGAGGTTTTGCATTTCTGTAAGATTCTGATGGAGTTTCTGGATTATCTTCATCATCAGCAGGTTCATCGAATTCTCCTTGCTGAGAGTTATCTACTGGTTGTAAATTCTTCTCCATAATAATTGACTCTTTGAGAATTTGATTCATTTCTCCAAGATTTTGTATATCAAGAGCAGCTTGTTGTGGGTCATAGTTATTTCCCAAAAGCTTGTAAAGAATAGATATGAGAACAGTTAACTCGTAGTTGTAGCTGTAAAGAGTTTTCACACGAATTGTCATATTAAGGAGAGCTTCGTCAAGCATTGCATCTTTAGGATCGCAGAGAACCTTTTGTATTTGATCTAAATTCTTCTGTGCTTTATCCCTTGCTTGTTGTAACGCCTGATATTTTTTCAATTGTTGGTAAAACTCAGGATCATTTTTAAGTTTTGCCTTGATTTCGTTAGACTGATTATCATATGCTTGTATTTCGGATGATAGTTGTTTGATTTCTGCATGAAGTTTTCGACATTCGTGTTCTGCCTTTGCAACTTGCATGTTAGTATCATTTAAATCCTTTCCTAGTTTCTGATTGGTTTGTGATGCAATAATTAATGCAGCTGATAGCTGGTCATTCTGTTGTCCTAATTCTTGATTAGTACGTTGAAGCTCGGAAATCTTATTAAGATCTTGTGATTCCCCATCAGCACTGCCATTCGGACCACTTGGCGGTCTTTCTGATGATGAATCAGCATTAACTTTGCGAATTGATGACATATTATAATAAAATTTAGAAAATCGTTGAAAAATTTGTAAACAGTTGGATACTAAATCAACAATTAAATCGCGTAAATGAAATGCTTATACATAATTTTAAAAATTCCACCCATAAACATTGTATTTATTTCCAGGATTTTTCTAAACATATTTTTCTCCAACCAAAAAAATCAGAAATTCGAGAGTAAGAATATCAAAATTATCAATTATGGCTGAATTATATTTGTTAAATATATTATATTTTATCAGATGTTCCGAATAAGACCAAAATTTTTTTAAAATACCGGGGAAAAATTCTAACTTCTAGATTTGTATGGTTTGTTGGAGGAAATATAGCAGAATATGAATAAAAACATGAAGTAATTAATATAAATACAAAACATTTTTATTTATGCTTTTCTTTTGAAAGCACATCAACAAGTTTTTTGAGTCTAAGACATGTAGAATCTTGAAAATCTTGAATATCGCAATCAACAACGCCATCAACAAAATAATTTGGCTCCTGATGTCGAATTAAAAGACAAGCTTGCTCAATATGAGCAGGGTTAGATAGACTGGATAAGTCGTTGGCAAGTTTAGCCTTCTGATCGTTTGTTAAATGTTTCTCTTTTGGTACAGCAAGTTTAATTTCGCGTGAATGCTCAGATTCCTTTTCAGCATTTGCTTGTTCTTGTTGAAGCATTGCCTGCCTCTGTGCTTCAAGTTCCGCTAGCATTTTCTTTGAGGGGCGTCCTCTAGGTCTGTGTATTTTTGGTGGTTGTTCAGGTTGAGTTGTTTGAGCGGTAGGAGCAGGTTCTGGCTGGACAGTAGGTGGTTGAGGCGGAGGAGGAGGCTTCTTTTCAACAGGAGCTGGCTCCACTTTGTATTTAGTCTGCGCATTTTCTAATAATATTTCATGATATTTATTTAACCAATCAGCTTCATCATTTCCTGTAATCCAATGTGTAAGTTTTTCGAATTCATTAGATAATTCTTTTGCTAAATGTGCTATTAAAGATTTTTTGCTGTTATATTTAATATTATTATCCCAAACTAAAGAAATGTCTGCTTTGAAATCTTCAACAGTCTCGTATTTGTTTTCTAGAAGTTTTGAACGAATTGTTCCGAGATCCATTGGATTTTTAATGACTTCAAAATAATTGGGGCAACCATCTGTTTCTGGATTCACAGGTTGGGTAAACATCTTAGATATGTGGCGTTCACAAAGTTTATCTAGTGCTTTCAGTAAATGCCGACGCGAATAATCAGAAATCCCCATTTTATAAATTTTTGACAAAGTAAATTAATATTTTATGACACCTTAATTCCGATTTTTGACAATGTCAAAAATATATCCGAAGATTTATGCCAGATTGAATTTAATAAATTTGCATAGTTACTAAAATTCGATTCGATTAAAATTTATGAAATTCAAAAGTGAGAAAAGACGATTAATTACACGTTAATGAATGCTTTTCTTTCTTCTCTTGAAAGATCCTTCACAAAATTCAGTCAATCGGCAGACGAGAAGAGACTCCAACTAAGTATCATCGATCAACAATTTAAAGATCTTGATAAAGAAGTGAAAAAGCAATTAAACGAAACACCAAAACTCGTTAGTCGTACGGCTCCTCAAACAAAGGCTTCATCACGTCCCAGAACAATACAAAGAGCTAGGACAGCTGTGAAAAGAGGTCCTAGGAAGTCAGCAAAAGAAGATCCAGTAATCAGACCTGCACCTTATCCAGTCAAAAACTATATTCTTCCTGCTCAACCTGTTTATGGAGCTGCGCGCTACTATAAACCGGCTGCAAAAGAACATCTTCGCAAAGAGGAATTATTAGAAAGATTAGAAAGAGAAAAATATCCTGATACAATAGATGACCCAACACCAAGAGATCTTGGCCCGGACTTAGTCGTTACATCGAAATCTTATTCAGTTGGAAAGAAAGGAGAAACCAATTCTATTGATGATTACTTCAACGCAGTATAAATATGTTTGTATTATTTCTAAAATGTATGTGTGTTATTTTATATTACTTATCAACATCACATATTATTCTCAAAGAAAATTTCGGAATAAGAGAAGAAGATCTGTGATATTCATACTTAGTTGGTGTAATTTTGTGTTAATTTTCTATAAATTTTCCAAATGTTGTCTAAATTATTGATGGAAGAAAATACCAAATGTCAGAATATCAAAAATGATTGATCTATTCATTATGATATTAATTAGAGGTATCATGTATCAAATATCCAAATCTGGATTTTTACTCGAAATACAAAAAGAAGTTGTTTGCTCGGTCATTTTTTCTATTCAAAAAAAATTTTGTCAAAAAAATTTTATAAAAATAAATGAGTGAGAATTTAGAATATGTAGAAGAAATGCTTGCTGTACCCGAAAGTGCTGAATATGAGCAAATAAACCAAGCAAACCAAGTAATATCCGAATGGTCAACAACTTGCAATGTTATTGTTGATGGAGCTCTTATTCTATCGCGGAACACCAATTTACTAGTCAGACAACGAGTTGCTTCTGCAATGGTAAACCAAATACAGTTCCAATGGGGTTCTATTCAGCCAGATGTCAGAAATGATATCAAAAAAACTTTAATTGCTTCAGTACGCGCTTTACAAGATAATAAATTAACATTAAGGTCTCTTTGTATAGTCATTTCTAGAATTGCTTGCTATGATTTGCCAACAGAATGGGATGATTTCTTTGAATTTTGTTTTATTAATGAGTCAATGCCAGTTGAAATTCAACAAGCAAATATGCTGATTTTAGCCCGATACTCGAAAGAAGTTAATTGTACAAAATTAATTACACAAAATCACAGAATTCAAGTTCGTGAGCAATTAATACAATTCGAACTACAAATAGAAGATTCTGTAAAGCTTGGATTCCAAACTCCTGAAATTGCTCCTTCAGCTCTTAAATTATTGCTTTCATTACTAAGATGGACACAAAAATACGAGATGATCAACAAAGAACTAGTTCATAAATTATTGTTTGACTTCTTACCCAATGAAATAATTCAAAAAACTGCAATTAAATGTTTGAGAACCATATTTATTGAACGAAATGACACATTTAACTACTATAATGAGCTTGCTCCTATTGTTATCATAGCTCTAAATACTCTGAAAGACCCTGTAAACCCTTCTCTCGCAATAACTCATTCGAAACTTGTCAAAATCTTCTTAATTGACTTCATGGGACAATTTTTACCGATAATACGAATATTTTCACTTACTTCGCCCGCTACTGTGAAAGATGAGCAAATTATTAAAGAATTTAACACGGCAAGGGACGAAGAAATATCAGTTATAGCAGATTATGGCTTTAAGTTCGAAGAATACGCTCAAATGATCGTTGATTCTTTTAATATTATTTTGTCATTAGATATTGAAGAAGTAGAGGACAATTTCTGGGAGTTATGGCATCAGATCTTCCAAGATATCAAGCAAGAATCGTACAGACACTCAAAAATCAGTTACGAACCCGTAATTTTGATGCAAATCAGCACTTTCTTTGATCCAATGATGAATGTGATCAGAGAAAACATTTATAGACTCCTTCCAGCAGCTGCAGATGAAGATGTGAACTGTTCTGCCAAAGCCAAAGTTTGTTTTGCTGCATTAGCCAGTTTGGACAACCAAAAGATGATGGAATTCTTGAACAACCAGCCTCACGATGTATCTTTCTTCTTCGCTCTATGTAGTTTCGATTATTTGTACGATAGTTCTGAATTATTAGACGATATCGGAACGACAACTATGAACTACCTTGAGGAAATTAATGAGGATTCGGACCCTGATATTATTTGCGCTCTTATGGGTATGTGCGCTAGACTTTCTTTGTATTTATCTTCAAATAATGAAAACTTTTCAAGGGTTATCTCATTTTTGATCGGATCACTTGACAGCCAGGAATTAAAGGTAAGGAACAGTGCCGCTTCTGCCCTAATCAGAGTCATCCAGAACTCATTAAATTATTTGACAGGAAATACAACACAGTTAACTCAAAGTGTCATAGAAGAAAGTGAAAAGCTAATGAACAACTTGGACTCCACATCGATGAAATATGTTTTCGTCGCTTGTTCGATGCTGATTCGAACAGTAACTGACCAAAAAGAGGTCAACCAGATCATGGATACCCTGTATCAGCCAGTAATTGATGCCCTCGCAGTGTTCTTCGATAGCCCAGAGAACAACAAACGAAAGGCAATCGATGCTTTGGATATAATTTTGAATTGCATCATCCAGATTCCAGCATACGGCCAACACTATGCGGAAATATTCGTTCCAGCCCTCATGCAACTTGCCGAAAACGTTTTCAAGGACGTCCAATACTCCGAAATCTGCGATTACCTTTTGGCCGCACTTGCGAACATCATTGCTGTCTTGAATTACGAAGATGGAATTGAGTACTTCAACCAGGTTTTGTCAATGGTCAGCCAATTTGGAGTTGCAGTTGGAGATTCCGTTTTCAAGTTCATTGCAGTGGTAAGGAACGAACATGACCAGATAGAAGAGATGTGGCCTGACATATACAAGACATTTGTCGAACCAGTTATGGCAAATGACCCTCCTCCAATTGAAGCTCTCGCAATTATGATGAAAAACTTCACTGTTTCATCACTTGGATTCGATTTCGTTGTTGATATAATGAAGAGAGGCATCGAGGCATACGAAGCAAATACAAACGATGCAGCAATTGGCATGTGGAACAGAATTGCGTTTTATGAGTACGATTCGAACATCAAAAATGATATTATTACAGCTATAAGTGATATTATATTACCTACAGCGTTCCAATCTGTATTCGATATGACTCATTCGGCTTCTCTTGACTCAATTTGCCAATTTATTTCAGATCAAGTCAGATACCTCAAAGATCTTTCAGCAACTCAGCATGCCAAGGAAGTATTGCTAGATTTCTTCCCAACAATCGTTCCGGAGCCAACAGAAAACTTGTATTCTAATTTCTTGAATTTTATCTTTGACATGTCGACCCAACAGTTCAAGATATATACGGCCATTCAATCTCTGATATCGTCAATGAGAGTTGTGTCCCCTGTCGATGCAGATCAGTTCAAAATTGTCAAAAGAAGTAATTTCTTCTCAATGTTGTTCCCATTCATGTTTGGAGCCTTGTTTGAACCATTCGGAGAGGCTGAGCCACTTCAAATTGGAGGTCCTGTCTTCCTTTCTGCTCCATTTGAATTTATTACGAATGATGATAAAAAACCAGCAATAACATCAAGTCAGGATTCAACGAATTAACCATATGACATATTGTACTATATTTTTTATTTTTATTATTATTTTTTTTTATTATTTTTGTATTAAATACGTTTTATTTTTATTATTATTTTTTTCTTATTATTTTTTTTTATTATTATTAGTCCAGCGCTTTAACCACTCGGCCAGGCCGTCTTGACATTTGAAATCAAATAGAACGTTTTGTAATAACAAATATGCACTTTTTAAACCAAAAATTTATGTTGGTAATTTTTAATTTTTTTTTTTATAATGTCTTATCAGGACACTCATCTAAAAGAATACAGTGAATTGAGAAGTATATATAAATACTACATTGATTCATATAATACATTATATCAGCTGAAAACGGAAAATGAAGAAGAATTAAACTCGATTTATAAAATGATCAAAACAGAGTTGATTGATTCAAAAAGCTATCTCCCCAATATTATTATACAGGAAATTCTAAATATCATTCCGTATAATAATCGCTATACAAGATCATATTTATCGGGTCATTATTGATTTTGTAATTTAATCGTCGTCGTTATCGATTTTGTAATTTAATTGTTATCGTCTTTTTCTAAACGTGCATTTTTTGCTTTCGGAGCTATTGAACATACATTGGCCCTTACCAGCAATTGAAAACTATTTTTCATTATCAACAATTACATTACTCCGAGTTATTCATCAATCAATGAAAATCGATATATAGTCCATACTTCAATTTACAATATTGGCAAGTCCAATTTCACTTGGCATATTTAACTCATATAGAAAAACCCAGTTGGAATCGGCAAAATTATCTTTAATTCCATACATAAGAAAAAAAAATTATAAAGTTCTTCAATAATAGCAAACTAATAGTTTAAATAGATTTACAAGTATCGCCCATCTACTTTTGATATAATTCACATATTAAATGTAGAAAACTGGTTTAAAATAAATATTTCAAAAGTTCGAAAACGATTTATGAAAAAATAACGTGATGACATTTACTAAATTTGCTCTGTATTAAAGTATCGATGATAGAAAGAGCATATTTTGTAAATATTTCAAAAATATTTAAAAGTCGGAGAAATTGTATTGTAATGTACTATAATTATGTTACAAATCCGATTCAATACTAATCCTTCGCTATTGAAGTTGTTTTGAGAAGGATATTCTCTAAATTCTTGATAAATCTTTAAAATCTAGAGTAATCGTTTTGTAAACTTAACAAAACTAAAATGTATACCAATAGATTGGCATTTTCTACGTTTTCAAAGTGAGAGAGTGTAAATTCTTTTTTTTATCCTATTAAGGTAAGGGTTTCGTTTTGCTAAAATTGTCACTTTTATAGCATATTTGTTTTTGGATGTTTTGCGAAACCAAAAAAAAACTATGATATACAATGTGTGTGTAAAGAAAATACTTTATTTACTAGTTAAAAAATCATTTGGTATTGATCAAGTTATTTTTTCTGGATAAGATATTATATGGATAATTGGATAGAAAATACAATTATATAATCTTGTACCTGGTTTAATTAAGCTAATTGTCATCAGAAACTTGTAATTTTTATGAATTTCAGATTTTCTTTTCATTACTGCTTTTCTTAATAGGTCAAGTTCTTATTTATGTTATAAAGTATGATATTTACAAATATCAAGTTATCGTGTTTTTTGAGAAATTATGAGAAACAAACAAAAATGAAAAAGATAGGAATAGCAATGAATAGTGATGTGGGTATAGAAAATGTAAGAGATATGAATGCAAAGCAATCAGTATTTAGGACATTGACCATAGATTTCGAAAAAAAAATGCTGCATATTGAGCGAAAACTATGATTATATTATAAGGCTGTCATTTAAAGCATAATGAAACTATTCCCTTTTCATTTTAATCGAATAAGATAGTAAAGATTTTTGAATTAGCTAGAAACTGATGAGATGTTTTCACAAATCAGATTTTTAATCTCTATAATGCATAATTCACTCAATATCTCAATTTTGATATTGCGAGATATTTTTGCTATCGGTTTCGCAATTTTGACACAATAGCAAGAGGGTTCTATAAGCATTATTATCAACGTAGAATCTGAATATCATATCAGAAAATGTCGCAAATCTGACATTTACCCGACCAAATAGCAAAAATAATTGAATACTTTTCGCAAAAACTTTAAAAATCGATAAAAATATGAAATATAGATATTAAAGAGACTTTTTATATAATATTCATAAAGATTTTCCAAAAATATGATACCGCAAAATTAAAAAAGTGACGTCTTGAGTGGAGTCAAAGGTCGAAATTGCTAGCTAAATGTTTTTTAGCGAAATTGCGTATTGTACGTTTTTTTCGCAAAACGAAACCCTTAATTTATATGATCTGAAATATATGACAAGTTAATATGGAGAATTCTTTCAACCCAATTTCAATTTATTGAATTTTCTATTCGAATTCAAAAATTTTCCCAAGAAGAAAAAATAATTAGGAAATTTAATATGTTAATACATAAAATATTTTATTTATTCAAAGAATTCAATTTTCTATTGGATCAAAAAACTTGTGTTAAAGTTCGTATTTTAAGATAACTATACTTTTAGAAGCTGTTTTTATTTTTTTCACCGGGATTTTATTAATTTTGCAAATTACCTCAGACTTTTCAGAGGATTGAGTGGCAACTCAATCCTCTGAAATAGTCTGTGGTAATTTTTAGTCTCTACACTATTTCAATATAAGCTCCATTTTTAAACAGTTTTTAAAAATCGAGCATTGAAAAGTGTGATGAGACTTAATTCTTTCAAAATTTGAATCTTATTGTATATCACCGGACTATGATCATAATAGAGTTGCAATCTCTAATTATAGCCACATTAGTACTCGTGGGTCGATATATCACGGGAGATACAAAATTATTTGAATTTTCTTTTATTTTTTTTAAAAATATTAAAAAAGTAAATAAATAACTAACAACACAGCATCACTTTTCGTAAAATGCTTTAATCCTAGTCCTTTTTCCCCTTAATTTTTCAATCTCTCCCAGGTTGAAATTTATTCCGGGAATTTTTAAAGATGCTTGGTCAACATAAAATTTCATTAAATCTTCCACGGGAGTCATAAACTCTGAACATTTGAAGCGAGCATGAACTGCATCATTCAAATTTTTAAGAAGATTTTTGTTCGAAAAGTGATTCAATACGGCGATTGCATGAATACAAGGTAATCCGTATAATTCGATGTGCTTACATGTGCATGAATATTGTGAATCTGACATAATTTTTACGCAATATGTATAGCGACCAAAAGTTGCATAATATAATTCTTGAATTGGATCATATAATACCGAGCTAAACATATCTGAATGTTTCAAAGTTTCATTTAGATTTTTGATAATATTATCTGATTTAAAATCACCTGTTAAAACATTTTTAACAAGATTGAATTCATGTTCAATGAGACGGATAATTAGTTCGGCGGGTTCATATGTATCCCATTTATCTTTAATTTCGGCATTAAGGGATTCAATAAGAGATGTTGTGAGTATGCCAGCGGTGTAGTCAGCGAATCCTTCAAATGGGTTAATACTATCTAAGTACTTAAAGAGATCCTGATTATTTTCGCGGTTTGGATATTCCTCTTGTAAACGAGTTTCTAACTTTTTAATCAAGTCAATTCGTTTTTGAGGATGGTCTGCGTAAGCGACTTCAACAATTTCGGAATAGACATTGATGTATTCCCTTTTTGTTGCAAAATGACGTAAGCAAAATTTATGATCGCAAGAAAAGCCTGATTCTCTAACAGCAGCTATAATAGTTAGTATACATATCTTCAGTACGGTGGCACTGCGCACCATCTTACCGAAGATATGTCAATCTGACACTTTACAAAACCACTAACGTATATTTTACATCACAGATGCAATATTTCTAATAACCTTAAACTATTTCTGCCACGTAAAGTATTTATCACATAAACCACCTCATCTCACCTCTCTGTACGTTATATATTGTGCGCAGGTCATTGCCCATGACAACTCCCCGCGACACAATGCACGTGCATGAAAAAATAAACGTTCTCACTAACGTACACACTAACGTTCCCACTAATGTTCTCACTTACAAAAGTATTGCAACTCCTCCCATTGCTGTGCTTCACATAACAGCTCATAATCTTCTGACTCACTTTCTTCTTCATATAGGTCAAAATCACTGTCATAGTTTATACCTGTAAGTTTTGACAAAGCTAATGAAACACGCTTACCGTTTGTATCATATGCTTGTATATATCTTCCATTATGCTTGTAGTCATAAACGCTCAAACTAACTTTACCCTTTCTCCCTCGTATCTGATAGAATGTATTTTCACGAGGAACGAAGAACAAATTCTTGAACTCATGACCGTTGTAGTTTGTTATCTCAATAGTTTTCGTCATTTATATAAAAATAAACTTAAAAAATACAATAAAAATTAATGATATCACCACCCTCACACGTATGAAAACATAGCACAAAAATAAATTTAGGTGAAGTGGTGAGATCTCACCTCTTTTTTCACCCTGTTGAATTCATTGCTTTATAACTCTCTTCCTTGGTTTCTTTTTAGTTGCTTTCTTCACGTCTGTCTCCAACTTGACTGTCTTTCTTCTTCGGCCGTAATGATACCAGTTACTTCCACCAGTCAATGGGTCAAATGGTCTTTCGTAAGGGTTTCCATACATTCCATAGGGACCATACGGAAGAACTACTGGTGGAGAAGAAACATTTTCTTTAGTTCCATCGACTCTATTTAAATGCATTGTTTCACCTTTCATCTGGTCATTAAAGTCTTTTGCGTGTTTTGCAAACTCATCGTCCTTTCCTAAAGCATTTTCTGACTCAGTCGCAACCAAATTGGATGCTTTATTTATGAGTCCCATTTTATTTAATCTTAACTTCTTTGCAACCCAGCCTCCAATCTTTCCTTTATTTGCATCTAATGTCTTTGAAACCCTTCCTCCACTCATTTTATTTACTGCGTCATAAGCTCCAAGTGCCTTTGCTCCAAATGCTAATGCTTTTGTTCCCATTGCGCCTAAAGCTGCCCAAGCTACCATTTACCCCATATTAAAATCATCTCTCTTCAATATTATCTCATAAAAGTTCTCGTTACTGGAGAAAGTCAATGAAACATAAGCGTTCTCACGGGCTTCGCCCTCACCGCTTTGCGGTCTATCTAACTTATTTCTTATATCATCTATACGCTTCAAAATGTCTGAACAATTGCTAACATCTTCTACAACAGTTATTTCATCATGAATGACCTTCAAGAACAAGCTCATTTAATATGCTATTAAAATCATCTCAATAATGAGTCCATCCTTTCCGTCTTTGGGTAGCACAACATCTTTCATTGAAGAAGGTTCAACAAGTCTTATGTTAAACTTACTGACAAAGTTTGTTATACTATAATGCTTTGGCGGCGAATACATATAGTTTGAAAGACATAATATAGATTCTTCAGCAAATTCACTTATACTAGAGATGCGAGTTTCCGAATTTTTTTAGCCCTGGGATGTCATAACCGCTGCGGTTTTGTAAAATTTGGGATAAATTTTGACAATCCATTTTTTGTGGGATGTACGTTTATATCAATTTGCTCGGCGTTTGCCGAGCTATTGTACAATCCTACTCGAATTCATTACGCAGCCCTGGTCACTCAAAGGCCGGGGCATACAATTACAAAATAGTAGAGTGAGACTCTTCTAATTTCTTCCAATCACAAGGAAGATCTTAGAAGAGCCTCACTCTACTCGAACACATTACGCAGCCCTGGTCACTCAAAGGCCGGGGCATACAATTACAAAATAGTAGAGTGAGACTCTTCTAATTTCTTCCAATCACAAGGAAGATCTTAGAAGAGCCTCACTCTACTCGAACACATTACGCAGCCCTGGTCACTCAAAGGCCGGGGCATACAATTACAAAATAGTAGAGTGAGACTCTTCTAATTTCTTCCAATCACAAGGAAGATCTTAGAAGAGCCTCACTCTGCTCGAACACATTACGCAGCTCCTGCTCAACAATGAGCAGGTCTTACCACTTTGAGAGGCTTTCGCTCGAGTTCTGATGCAGATCCCAACGCGAGCGAGAGTCTCTCAAGCAAGCTTCTAATTCGTAGCTAGAGTTTCACTCTTATGAACTGGCAGCCAATTTGAGAGACTTTCGCTCGAGATCTAATGAAAAATCAGAACTCGGCCAAAAATTGCCCAAACAGGCTTGTAATTCGTAGCTATAGTATTGATCGTATGGATGTGTTGCCAATATGAGAGACTTTCGCTCGATGTCTGATATTGCATCAGACATCGAGCGAAAGTCACTCAAAACAGCTTAGACATGTCTATTTTGACGGCATTAAATGATTTCATAGGAAATGTCTCAGTTGTTAATTAAGTTCACGTGAGCTTTTATGAATGAAAATAAGTAAAAAAAAGAATTTTCTCAAAAAAAATTGTGTACGCATTGAAATTTTTATCTATAAATTTAGATATGTCATCAATAATATAATATAATTTTAAATTCGTGGAGTACACTTGGGATAATTGAATATGGGCTACCCCATCCCAACCTCTCAAACTTCCTCTGAATTTGGACAAGGTATCCCAATCCCAAAGACCTATCTGAATAAAATGAAATAAGTATATTATATATATTATTTATTTGCTAATAATGAGCATAAATCGCTAAAATTATGAAGAAATTAAAAATTAAAAATTAAAATTAGAAAAAAATGTTGATTTAATGAGAGAATATTGTATAAAAATAGAATTATTAGCTAAAATACGTATTAATTTTATGATATTTCAATCACATTAACGAAAATCGCCCATTTTTAATTCAAATGGGCGGGAAAAAAAATAAAATTCCAAAAAAAATTGAATTGGGGAAACGATAGGGGACGGGATATGAGAAACCCCATATGTTTGGGAATTTTTCGCATCACTACTTATACTGGATTTTATAACAATGTTCTCACGAGACCAAATGCCACCAATTGACAATCTTGTAAGCAATCCTGCTGAACCTTCAACTGTAAACGTCGATGGTAACATTCCACGAAGGTCATCTATTGACATCTTTGAGTCACTGAATTTAAAGATTTTCTTAAAGCAATCGTCATTATCTAACCATGCAATAGCTTTGAAGTTTTCATTCGAATATACATCTGCTTCATTAAATGTAAAACCTGACTTCTTTGCAGAGACGACTTTAAAATCTATTGAGTTTGTTTCAAAATTATATGCTATGGTAACTTCTGAAGGTAATGGGTGCCCTTCCGCAGTCAGTTGTTCTCTCACTACCGTTTGAAGCTTTGTGTTAAAAACTTTCATGTCATCTCCTGTGTCTAGGTTCACATACACAGCAACAGGGAAACTATCTTGCTTCTTTGTTTCATCATTATATCTCAAAACATTAAAGTTCTTCAATAATATTGTTCTTCCTGCTGGAATACTTCGAACCTGTCTGATTTCAATAGCTTTCTCACCTCCTACATACTCTACCCAGTGTCTTGGATATTCATAAGTATACTGACTTTCTTGAATTTTGGTTGGTTTCATCATAACATGTTCATAGTATATCTTTATACTCTTGTCAGTTAGACTCGGTGCTATGTTCTGAATATTTCTGACTTGCATTTTTAATGGAGATAAAATGAAGCATTTAATACATGATGTAGATGAAGACATGAATGAAACTACAGACAAACTTAACTCTTCTCTTATTCTTCCTTTCAGCAAAGATTATGAATTCTGTTCAAATGGTGTGTATTTCTATTGTGGAAAGATGGGTTCAGGTAAGACATTTAACCTCATTCGTCATATACTCATAACAGAGCGTTTAGGAAACGACTCTTACTATGACCAAATCATTATATCAGCAACTTCAGACTCTATGGATTCAACAGCGGAAAACATTCATGTCAAAAGTTCAAGCATCTGTCGTTAAAGTTCCAGACAGTAACTCATTGAATTTCTTCAACGTTACATTCGACGTAAGAGGAAATATTATGCCATCGTTGAATTTATACAGTCAGGAATGCAAAAGACTTCTGAGGAGATGGAAAGAATTATTGACAAACACCACTTACGTCAGTACTCAGGAGTTTACGATATGAAACGACTTACAAACTACATTCTATCAAAACTTTCAAAATACCCCTTCAAAAAGTATCCATCAAACACTCTGCTCGTTTGTGACGACTTCGCCGGAAAAGTTTAGTGTCAAAGCCTGACTCACCATTAGCTAACATCATAACTAAAGTCAGACATTACCATTTAACTGTAGCAATACTTATGCAAACATGGCGTTTCCTTGCTTTAAACATAAAACGTCTCATAACTGACTTCGTTATCTTTCAAGGTTTCTCACGTTATGATATTGAACTCATTTGGAAACAGTCAGGTATAACATTACCTTTTGAAGAAATTTGGGAAGCATATAAGTCTCTCATCTCTCCTCGTTCATACCTTGAGATTCATATCATGACTAATACCATTAAAGTCAAAAATATTCCATGGGAACGACCAACATTGTTTTAAAGTTTAACCTTCAATTGACTGATGGTAAACAAATTCCATGCATCTCTGTCGCCATTTCTGTTAATATTTTTGCTGTCATTCATATCATCCACTTCCCCATCCGTTAGCTTTTGAGGATATGCGTTAGAATAGCTGTTCTTAAATGAAGGCTTTTCACCTTTGAGAGCATAAACTCTATAACTTTCTGCATACTTTATGTTTGAACCTCCTGAGCCATCATTGACATAAATTTTTATAGGCTTCCACCCTTTGTTCATATTCCTGCTTCTTCCCTTTGCTCTTTTGTTCAGTAGTTCTACATCTTTATACACAGCTCCTGTCTCAGTGAATTCAACAATATTTTCATTCGTTAGCTTTACATTCAAACCCTTGTCGAGTATATTGTTCATTTCATACATATAAAAAGGTTTTTATTCTATATGAAATGAGAAGCAAATCCATCTTAGCTGGTGCCGTTAATGTTCCAATTGAACCAACATCAAATGTTGACTCACGAACGACAAACAATATTGTCATAAAGAACTATAGTTCGGAGTGTTTGAAAGAAAAAGAACCAGATCTTAAGTCGGTGAATTTAAACACAGCTTCAAACGCTAACGCTACATCAGATGTTAAGTTAGAGTATCCACCACTGGACCAAGTTCTTTCAAGAGAAGCCAACGACAACCCTTACACAAATGTTCAAACAAATCCTTCAGATAACGTAGACCATTACCTTCTTCAGTTATACCAAACAATTTTACTCAAAGACGATAAGAAGCTTTTGACAAATCTTATAAGTAAGAACCAAATAATTCTAACAAAGGAGGACCTTGAAAATGTTATATCACGAATAACAGGGAAACAATGTGTCATTGACTATCTCGACCCTGAAATCGAATGCTGTGGTCAAACTCCACTATTCATGAAAATAGGTAACATCCGCATCATTGAAACACCAGGAACTACAGGAGTTGAGTTTAAGTATAAATATTCGAACGAGTATACAAAACTTTCAACAGAATATAAGCTTTGTTTGAAATATGTTTTAGTAAATTAAAACAGTCAGGAGGGCTCTTTGAGCCCATCTTGGCGCTTTGCGCCGTCAGTCAAAAAAATTCAAGTTAGCAATTTGTAATATCTGTCCAAAACTTCTTCAACAGTATTGAATTCATCTTCATAATGCAAACCTAATCTTATTGACTTGGTGCAGTTTTCACTAACACAATATTTTTCTGTTCTCTTGACTGACATAACTAACTCATTTGTTTCATCAAACAGCAACAACCAAAGTTCATGACCTAATACATAACATTCATACTTTATATTTTTAGCTCTGAGTTCTCTTGTAAGCTGTTGCATTTAATATTTTCTAAAAAGTCAACTTCAACAGTCATTCGCACTGGTGCCTTCAGTTCTACAGGCTCTCCTTGAAAGTCAACAAGTCTGAATTGCATGTCTTTCAAATTATGAGGACTAATGCGAACCCATTTACCTAAATGAGTTGCTCTGACAGGAACGTTTGGAATGAACATTGAATTGACTGCATAACAGAAAAACTTATATTCTACTGAACCTTTACTATTAACTCCTGAAATACCTGTGACATTAGCTATTTTTGACTCAATGTACAAACAATTACCATAACATACGTATGGAACAGATTTCATCTCAATCGTTTTGTCAACACTTTTCAAAGGAAATGTCATATGGTATGCACCCAAAAGAAGTTGTACTCTATGACTCATTCTTGGTATCTTAAACTCTTTCTCGCTGCTGAACTTCAATGTTCCCTCAGAAGAGAGTTCGACATCTATGTTGTCAATAGTTTCTTCATTTATGAGAGCATTTAACACTCCAGCAATTTTATCTATTCTATACCCAGCTCTATTAGGAAATGTTATAACACTTCTTTTGTCATCTATTTCAATCTCTATGAAATCTGTTTCATCTGTTATGACAAAAGTTGCGATAGTATTGAAGTCAACAACTCTGAAAGCAAGCGCTTCATTCTGAAGACCTAAGTTTGTTTGTAGCTTTACTGTCCCGTATTCGTTTGGGTCTGTACTTTGCAAATAGAACAACATTTTATTCTCATTAAAATATGACTATTGCTGCATATGCGTATGAAACAAATGAAGCAAGAAGAGCACATGAACTAGTAAACGAAAACTCAACTTTAACCATTGAAGGCAATGATTTAGTCATTGACGATGGAAAAACTAAAAAAGTCATTGATTTCGATACTTTTAACACGTATGACCCATTCATTACAACAAGCAAGGTTCCCATCATAAATGATGGAACAGTGCAATATATAAATTCTACAGTAGATGCCTCATTAGTGAAAGTATTAAATGTTCTCATTGAATTGTTAAAGAGCTTTCGATTTGACGACAACATTAAATGCCTAAAGAATTTAGTCATGAATGAGAAACAAATTCTCGGCGTTGCTGGTAGCAGTAATGATGTACACCTTATGACATTAGAATATTATAACGAACATAAAGATGAACTGAAAGGAGAGAAGGGTGACACCGGACCTCAAGGACCACAAGGAATACAAGGAATACAAGGAATACAAGGAATACAAGGACCTCAAGGCGAGAACGGTTTGGATGGTGAAGATGGAAAGGATGGAAAAACTGCTAAATCATGGATATGGAACCTTATAAATACTGGTTTAACAGCTGCTTCATATGGAGTTCTTCAATACCAAATCGGAAAGATATGGGCAGTACTTGGTGAAGAAGTTTTAGATGACGTTAAAAATGCTTTGAACTTCATTTCAAATGGTTCGGATACTATTAAAACTTTATCTGGTTGGATGCAAGAAACAAGGAGTCAAATAGATACTGTAAGACGTATAGCAAACAATGCACGTACGGGATTGGATACTTTACGAGAAGCACAAAATACACTAAAGGAAGCAAATGATATTCTTGGCTCAGTATCAGACATGCATGAAGATTGGCTTAAAGGTATTGACAAATCTTTAAAAAATCACAGTCAGTCTATTGCTGACTACAAGAAAAGTATAGATTTTTTACATAGTGCTATGGACGTACATGATGGAAGCATAAGGAACTTACTTAATGCTAACAATAACTTACCAGGAACTATTAAAGCATTTATAAAGTCCTTTGTAAAACCTGGTGCTCTAACATTTAGGTCTTTGAGAGCAAGAGCATTGAAGTCAAGAGATGCAGAAACTCCAACAGAACCTACAGAAGGAACTGAAACAACAGAAACTCCAGAAGAACCACCAAAACCAACAGCTAATGAAATATTGTTCGAATATTTTCCAAGGTACTCTGTTCTCATTGCATACATTCAAGAAATACTTAAGAAAGCAGACTTGACTTTAGGAGATGATGAAAGTTCTGTATATCTTTCGTTCCAGTTTCAAATAGCAGAACTTTTGAGACAGATATGCTTAATGTATGACAACATCTCTGATTTCACAAGATATGATGACGACCATGACCCCGAACACGGTGAAGAAGAAGTTTTACAAACATCCATTAAGACAGGAAAGGTTTTAACTCAAAGTCTCATTATTGACACCAAAGATGGCGAAGTGGACGTTCATTCACTGTTCTGGTTAATGTTGAATCGTAACTTCCGCGAATGAATGAGTATGTATTGATTGGTTCTGTTGCATTCTTGCGAACTCTTGAATCAGCCATAACCACTAATGAACGCTTTGAATCATCCATAGAAGTCATTATGTCAATATCATAATCATTGCAGGAATAACATTTAATCATTCTGTTCGAAACTGCATAGAAGAAATTAGTGTTGCAATAAATGTGAAGACCTCCTGAAGCGGTTTTAACGATAACATCTTTATCCGAAAGTTTTGATAAAATGTCTTTTCTAACTGTTTCTTTAAGTTCATCATTGTACGATTTATTGATATCAACATCTATAATCGTTAAATTTGAAATTTTATTTACTAATAAAGCCATACCAGTTTTCCTTCCTCTTCCTCCATCATGTTTGAGGTAGTTATGTAAATCAATCTTGTTTTCACCAATTCTTTCGTTGAGGGTTTTAGTTTCTGCCACAACTAATTCCTCAGCTAATGATTCAATAACATGTTCATCAGAAATGAACAAGTTACTGTTGTTGTTTGTTGCCGTCATTTATATAGGAATAAAAAAATAAAAATAATTTTAAAACTAACTTTATTTTTGGACTGCATCATAACTGCCATCCTCCTGTGTTGTTGTCAAAATGTCATGTTGTCTCATTTTTTCAGAGAAGTTAAATTACCTGGTGACATGGTGACATGGTGACATGGTGACACCTTCAGTTCTTCAAAAATAATTCATAACTGCCATCCTCCTGTGTTGTTGTCAAAATGTCATGTTGTCTCATTTTTTCAGAGAAGTTAAATTACCTGGTGACATGGTGACATGGTGACATGGTGACACCTTCAGTTCTTCAAAAATAATTCATAACTGCCATCCTCCTGTGTTGTTGTCAAAATGTCATGTTGTCTCATTTTTTCAGAGAAGTTAAATTACCTGGTGACATGGTGACATGGTGACATGGTGACACCTTCAGTTCTTCAAAAATAATTCATAACTGCCATCCTCCTGTGTTGTTGTCAAAATGTCGATATGAAGACTAACCAAAAATATATTTTTGCTTAAATGACGTCAGGGTCAATTTCTTCAACCATTTCACTTTCTTCGTCAATGTCAATAGAAGCTTCTTCAACCTTTGGTAAGAATTTCTGTATAACATCTTTGTTCGTTATTGTCTTCAGAGATGAAGGATAATATTTCACATTTGTTTCACCTTTCTTATATTCTTTCTGTTCGGAAAGATTTAAAGCAATACTGAAGAAGTCAATGTTAGAGTTCTTTATGACAGTATAATGAGTATCTTTGACATTCACGAAGAAACCCTTTTGTTTCAAAACTACTGCTAACTCTTGTGAAGTATAACGTTTGCGGTCAATGACGATAGCTAATGGTCTGACATACTGACCGAACTTAGATTCTTTCACAAACTTCTTGTTAAAGATAACATTAACGTTTGAAGCATTATTGAACTCATTCTTGATGGCATTAGCGAGAGCATTGTATGAAAAGAACTTGCAATCTTGCATGTGTTTCATTAAAATAAAAATATTAAATTATTTTGAAAAATAACTTTAAAAAATCTAATCTAATTTTTTCAAAAAATATTTTTTTATTTCCTACTAAAGATGTATCGGAAGTTGTCTAAGTTAGAACACTCGGAAATAAAACAACTTCTTACAGAAGCTAATATAGATGTTGCAAAGCATTACGCAACAAACAAAAAAGCACTCGCTGACATCCTCAATGACTATAATGGTGCAATAAGTTATGATAGAATTCATGAGTTCATAAAGCCGCAACGCGGCGAGGACGAAGTCCATGCAAGAGCATTTCCTTTAAATGACGTTGCTATTGACTTATATCATAGACGTTCAGTACCTCATGAAGTAAGAAGAGAAATGTTTGACATAACAAATGCGAACGTTGGTGAAACAAGAAGAAGAGACGACACACTGAAACAACAGAGAAGAGAGATGTTTAAAAGTGCTATAGAACAAGTTCGCAAAGCTAATAATGTCATTCGTTCCATTGACGACAAACCAAAAGAAGGTGAGAGATGGTTAAAGAAAGATGAAGAGAATAGGAGAGAAATGTGAAGTCAGGCAATAGACTCATTGACTTTAACATCGAAGCTTTAGATGAACCAAACAGAGACTACTTACACAAACATTTCGGTAAGGTTTTCATGAGACTCTTAGAGAAGATTAAAATAAACTCCCAACAAAGATGGATGGTATGTTATAAACTTGGTGGAAAGTATGAATGTTCTACGTTAAACCTCAATAATATTGGAACATTACTACATCAGCTCTTGAAGGAGAACTTTATATCAGAGATAGAAGCAAATGCTGCAGGTATTGTTGAAATGCACTATGACTTCTTCTTGACAAACATAAAGAATCTTACTGAAATAAAGATGTATGATTTAACAGAATATGAAGGCTTAACGATGTCAGATGTAAAGAAAGGCAAACCAAAAAAGAGACCATATAGAGATGAAAGCACACTGACAAATGACCAGAAAGCCATTTTGGAAGCTCTTAAGCAAACAGGAAACCCAGCACTTATAGAAAGCTTTTGGAAAGATAATGGTGAAAAGAAGTTTTATAAGAAGAGAAGCGGTCAGTTCTGGAAGTATCTTTGCACATTACCTATAAATCTTGAACGCTACCAAATCTTCAATGAACTGAACAAAAGAACTGCAACACTTATGACAGAAGATAACTGCTTCGTTTATGCTTGCATTCAGGCTGGAGTAAATGAAGAAACTATTGACCACATGAGAGAAGTCATTCGTGTTAGAGACTTTCCTCAAAGTAAAGTACAAGAAATTTCTGACGCAACTGGTATAGCATTTAATGTTACAATTGGTTATTTCAATGACTCCAAAGATAACAGAATAATTCACTACATACCAAAAGAATGTGAAACTGTTCGAACTATTGACTTACTTCTTGTTGAAGACCACTACATGCTAAATGAAAGATTACCAATGACAACATATTTCATTCGCAACTATATAGAAATCTTGAAGGAGTGTGGTGGAATGAACATTGAGAAACAGATGAAGATTTATACAAAGAGAGAGAACAAATATGTAGTTCGTTATGATAGAACAACGCCGTTATGGGATGTTATGAAAACATTGTGGGAGTGCAAATATTTGAACCTATTTCTTATGGAGAACTTTTCACATATACGACTGACTTATATAAACAGAACCTTGCACCATTTAAAGATTTGACATATGCTCCAAAGTATTGTGTACAACTGAAGAAGAAAGCAGAGTCAAAGAAGTAAATAAAGCTAAATGTAAGTTCATTCCTGAGCATGTTTTCTTTGCTGACTTTGAGTGTAGCACAGACGGCTTTCATAAAGCTTTTAACATCTGTTACGACAGTGAAGATGGTTCAGTGAGTGAAAGCATTTGGGGTCAGAACTGTGCAACAGAATTTTTGGAGCGACTTCCTGACAAGAGTTTAATATATTTCCATAACCTCAGTTATGATATAAACTTCATCTTAAGACACATGACAGAAGTGAAAGGAACTCCCATCATTAAAGGTTCACGAACAATGCAAATAACTGGCTTATATAAAGGAAGGGCAATTATTATAAAAGACTCTTACAGTGTTATAAATAAGAAGCTTAAACTATTTCCTGCTATGTTTAACTTACAAACAGGACCGAAAGAAGTATTTCCATATAACTACTACAGCAGTACTTGTTAGCAAATGACAACAGAACTGGTGTCATTTCTGAAGCGTGTAAGTTTGTAAAAGATATTGAAACGTTCATGAAGAACATAGATTCCATCAAAGGTTGCAGAATAGATGAAAACCATTTCGACTTAGAAAAATATAGCACGTTTTACTGCAAACAAGATGTAAGAATTTTAAGAGAAGGTTTTGTTAAGTTCCGCAATGACATATTGAAAGAGTTTGATTTAAACGTTTATGACTACGTTAGTATTTGTTCAATTGCTAACAAATTATTTGAGAACAGAGTATACTTCCCGAATGGAAATCTTTATGACCTCTCAAATAAACCAAGAGAATTTATTTCGAGATGCATTCAAGGTGGAAGATGTATGTTGTCAGATAACATGAAACAAAAGAGCAAAAAGAAACTCATTGCTGACTTCGACGCTGTTCATTATATCCATCCGCTATAGCAAGATTGTATATTTAGAAGGAATTCCAAAAGTATTGAAGATGAGATGTTAGCACAGAGTATCTCATGAGACATTTATTCGATGACGACCAAAAGGAACCCATTGGTGAAAAGTTTATGTCTGGCTTCTTTGTTCTCATTAAGAATAACAGAGATTGGAATACATAGACACTTTCCTTTAATAGTTTTGTGACCCTGAACTAAATCCAGAACTTAACGTTCCAGAATTCAAACACTTGCTGTTTAATGTATGTTGACCATATAACATTACAAGAACTCATAAAATATCAAGGTGTCAAATGTGAAGTGTTGCAAGGATACTATTACGATGGAAACAGAGATATTAGAATAAGAGATGAAGTAAAAGAAGTTGTTTGAGTTAAGGTTAAAGTATAAGAAAGAAGGAAATCCTTTGCAAGAAAAATATAAAGCTCATTCTGAACAGCATTTATGGAAAACCATTTTATCTCCTATTGAGTCAAAAATAACCATAGTAAATGACAAAGATGCTTATAAGATATGCCATCAGAAACTACAACCATATAGTGAAGTTCGAAGGTTGGATGGTTCAGATAAAAACTATTTTCAAGCTAAACGAAAAGCATTTGCAGACACTTTAACTTCTGTCCACTTGGTGTTAACATTCTGTCTATGTCGAAGAGAATAATGTGTGAAGTTATCTGTACTGCTGAAGACTTAGGAATGGACATCTTTTATAGCGATACCGACAGTATGCATCTCTACAATGAAGATATCCCTCGTTTAGCTGAAGAGTTTGAGAAACGTTATGGAAGAGTTCTCATTGGTAAAACCTTGGTCCAATTTCATAGCGACTTTGCAGAAATCACAAAAAGATAAACAAAGTTTAGCATACAAGTCAATATTTTGTGGAAAGAAAGACCTACATAGACTTACTCACTAACGATTTAAATGAAGTTGCATTTCACTGCAGAATGAAAGGCGTTAAGCAAGATGTTATTGCTTTAACCGCTAATGAAATGTTTCCTGACTGTAGTGTTTCTATGATGAAGATAAAGGTTTAATGGTTCCGCAAGGAAAATTTGACAAAGACTCTGAGTTCAGTGTTATGAAGTTATATAAAGCACTTTATGACGGTCAAGAGATTGGATTTGACTTATGTAAGTCTTCTAGTCCTTGCTTTGCTGAAAAGTTTAACTTCTCAATAACGACTAAAACAAGCTTTATTCGTAAGTTGAAGTTTCTGAGGTCATTTATTTTTGTCAGCAATGAGGTCATTCGTGATAAAAATAAAGCTAGCGTAGATTTTACAATACTGCGATGGTAGAGTTTAAGAGTTGTGCTTCAATGTAGAGACAGTCCTTCCCATCTGGAGGCAAGACACTGGACATTATGGTCGTGAGTTGAGTACATGTG